ATTGTTTCAGTTCATTTAGGTATAAATTCGATTTATGTTACTATAACGTATAAATATTTATTAGTACATAAACATAATTGGCAAACTATGTAAATAATATAAACCTTTTTCTTACAATATAAATTGTTTTATTCTATTGATAAATATTTGTATATATTAACCATTTTTCAGACATTTTGACTTTGATTTAGATAAAACTTTATATTTCTTTATTGCGGGTCGTTATGAATTTGGAAATAAAGGTGCCGACATATTTATTGAAGCTTTGGCAAGATTAAATCATTATATTAAAATATCTAAGTTAGATATAACTATTGTTGCATTTTTAATATTTCCTGCAAGAACCAATAATTTCAATGTGGAATCACTTAGAGGACATGCAGTAAGTGAAAAATTAAAAAATAGTATTTTAATAAATAATAATTTTTTTTTAAATATAATTATCATTTGGAATGATCTTAATTAACTCCCTGATAAAAATGTAACGCCTTAAAAAAACAAATTAAAAAACAAGTGCAATATATAGTAATATTTCTAGAATAAGGCAAAGAATTTTAAATGCAATATATTTTATGTAATAAAATAAAAAACGCCTATACTAATGAATAACAAAATCATTTCAATAATAAAAATATTATATTGATAATATTCTCGAATATAAAATGTAATAGGTTCAACAAAATCAAACTTAAATATAATTTTTAATAGAAAAAGAATTATTTAAATTTGAACTTAAATTCGAAAAATTAATTTATAATAATATACGATATTTCTATCCTGTTGTTTATTTATATAACAAGGTTATTGAACAACATTATAATCAGATTTAATCAATTAAATTTCACATTTTTATCAGTAAGATAAAAACATCAGTTTTTATTTCAATGGCTAATAGGATAACTCCTTATTTTTTTTGATAAAGTAATCATTATTGATGCATTTATTTCTCCATTTTCTTCTTCATATCCATGTTCATCTTTCTTATTGTTTTTGCTACTTTCGAAAATTATATTATGTAATAATAATGTCTGGGATCAGACTAAAAACCTCCCTTTGATGGTGGGTGGAGGTGTTGCTGGCAAGTGGCATGGGCAATGCAATTATTCAATACTACTTGTAGAGTTTAATATCTTTCCTTTTATTAAATATAATAAATATAACAATTAGTTTGTGTATTCTCGGTAGAGTGAGGCGCGACTCCTTCCCCTTACAAGCCGAGTCACTGTAGTAGTAGACGCGCACTGGAGGGGCGAGTGCAATACTACCTTAGCCGCCGGTGTAGCGTGAGCGCCGCTGCTGCTGTATGGTGGGGAGGATGTCCTTGTTGCATCACTGCTTACGTGAGCGTGAGTTTATTGGTATTGGTTTATTGGTTCCCTGAATTGCTTGATGCTCTACTTACGTGCATAGATGCAGTACTGATGCTTGTAGAGTTACCGCTTGCAGGACGAATAATGAGCCCGTCGTGGAGACTGTATGATTATTAATTTGCACTTCTACAATGCGCGTCAAGCGCTGCTTAAATATTCTCGTGCGAGCTGAAAGCGCCGATAGCGCACCGGTGTCTGTTACTATGCCGATCATAATGGTGACGTCACTAAAATATAGCCTTGAAGAGTTCACCGGCACTGCTAGTCAGAATTCGAATCTAATATTCGAGTATTCTGCGTAGTAAATTTCCCGAATTCGCTGAATTGTGTTTATAACGTAAATGTCCGGGAGCTTGTGCCTCTCCCACTTTTGTATTCCGCTTTTAACTGCTTCAATCCGTAACAAATGTATTGTTCCAGTAGCTATATTTATTACATAATATCTAGAAACAAATAACTACTATAATAATGTATACAAAAATAATGTTATGAGGTAGATAATTAATTAAAATAAATAGCAATCTTTGTTTTTGAATGGATTACACAATCTATACTCTTACATCTAAAATGGATATTGTATTATAATTTTTCAAATTAGACGAACATTGTATCCAATAATATTGTTTGATATCATGAACTTTCATACGTTAGATAGTAAAAATTTCAATTAAATATAGATTAGATATACTGTTATTCTTTAGAATTTAAAGTTCCTTAAATGATAAAAAATTTAAAAAAATACAGATAATTTTGCTTTTGTCCTTGTATGCTATTTATTCAGTTTTAAATTCATTTTATAAAAGATAACTAACATACTAATAATATTAAAATAATAATATTAAATGTTTTATAATTTATTCCATATTTGGACCAACATTGTAAAAAATGCTCATTATGTTATAAAATTTATGTTCTATCATTATTTAAATTAGATTTTTATAATAATGTTAATATATAAATAGTTACATCAAATGCTTGAAAATATTGTCTGTATTGAAAATAATGGATATTAGTTGTTAAATTTTCACTCATTACGATGTGATCAATTCTTATATGCTTATGCAACGCCATTATCTTCATATATGCATATATGTCTATAATGTATATCGTATACATTATAATGTATTGTAATATATTGTTTTTTGTACCTTTTAAATATTTTTACAGGTACTTTTTTGTTACAGAGTGTTTAATACTTGATATAAATATTAAATTATCAAAATGCCTATTTTTAAGATACGAATTATATTTAAAAAAAAACATTATGATTCTACATATTAAAAATTTTTTAATCGTATTTTCTAGATTGTAAAAGTAATTTTCATGATAAAACTATTTTGAAATTATTTATGCGTTTTATACATAATATAGCTTTTCTTCGGGAATCAATTCGTAAGTCAATCGTTAAGTTTCAACGAGTGTGATTATTAAAGGGAATTTAATTTATTACATACATTATTCATAATGTACACTTTATTAGAATTAAATGTCTTAATTATGTCAGACATTTTATAGTGTATACTATAAAATAAAGCGAGTTTATGAAATACTTCACAAATAGACAATGTATTTAGAGTACATTAGTATCTTATTATAGAGTTATTAATTTATGCCTGTTCAGAATTGAACCACCCAACAAAAAATAAGAATTTATTGTTTGTTAAAATACGATTCCGATATATCACATTTAAGATTAAGGCGCAATATTCGAATTATACGTTACAAAAATTCACTGGAAATTTAGCCGCGCACTTTGTCTGCATAGCAACAAAAGAAGCTTCTCGAAGTTGTCAAACCTTGCTTCCAGAGCCTCCAAGAATTCATAGCACTAAATGTACGCAATCGTATTTAAGAAGCAACGAACGAAAAAGAAAACAGTCTTTATGAATTACTTAAGTGTAATTAGTGTCAGTAATATCTGTGAAAATCGAACTCGTCTGAAGGAATTCGCGCAAGGTATATTATTATTATTGCTGGCCACCTATCAATATTATCCACACTTGTAAATCCTCGCCTATTTTTCGTGACCGCACCCCGGCCTACGACTATCATAGTTATTGATAGAGTCCGGCTTAATGCTCGTTAGCATGGCAAAACCATACCGATCATGCTGCCCGAAAAGAACGTCTCATGATCATTCATGGTCCGCGTCTACCGTATCAGTAAAGCCCTCTGATTTGAGTCCCTAGCAGACCGCAAGAGAGGGCGCCGATCCTGACAGTAGACCCCTGCCTAAGTCTAAAATTAGTACTGCGAGACATTACCGGTCACACCACAATAAATTGGTTCTGATTAAACCACAAAAGAGGGCGACAACTGTTCGTAATAATCCCCACCACCGGTAGATGTATGTATACCGAGCCGAATATCAGTCAGTCAATTCCAACGTCGAGTCAAGCGCCTAATCAGTCGAGATCCGAATCTCGCTTGGTACTATTCGAACATCGCCGTAAGTGTCGAAGCTCCGCGAGCCAACCAAAGCCCAATATAATTCAAGCACGACTCACACGACATATGACTATAAAATAAAACCCTGAATTATTACTTTACAAAGCTTGCACTCTCAGATGATGTTTCGTCTTAATAATCAGCTGCCTAGTCACTACATTCAACAATTCTCACTACAATAAAGAACACCTACAATACTGTAACATCTAATTAAGTAAAGGTCACTAAAACTAATTGTATCAATCTGAGTTGATGCATTAACCTCTCACCTATCCCTCCCCCCATCATCATTAAACCGGTGGTACGATCTAATCCACCCACTGTAAACTGCGATCATACTGGTGACTGGAATTCCAAACAATGCCCATTGATATTTTGTAAATAGTGAAAGAATTTTTGCATATTATTGAATATTATGAATATTAACCATTCTGATCAATTATATTAAAATAGTCTTAAGGAAAATGGTATTAATTTCATAATGATCGATTACCTTATTTAACATTAATTTTATAGTTTTCGTTCGAAAGAATTTATATATATTTATTAAAATATTGAACTTCTATTGCATCAAGAAAATGATATGAAATTCCTATTTAATACAAAAATATATAATTAATCTTTAATCTATTAAAGAACTATTTAATAAATAACAAACAAAATCAGCAAAATATATTTTATTTTTTATATAATAATCTTTTAAAAATAAATAATTAAAAAATATATATTCAATGTTAATTTGAACTTTATAGGTAACAAAGTCGCTACGCGGAACAATAAATGATATACAACAAAAAATTGGAAAACGAATGTACGAGGCTTGTCTTTCAGGTCGTATGCCAGAAAATAAAGATTTATGTCTTAAGGAAGATTTGATTAAAATAAAAAGGTATCTTTTTGATAATATTAACTATTACGTTCGTTAATTTTCTTTGTATTGATAATTGATAATAAATCTACTTTATTATTTTTACGAATACATAAATGTTAAAATTTAAAAGACTATTGAATATTCATATATATGTTTGCATACAAATTTTGTAAACCAAATTCATTCATTAAATTTGAATAACATTTCAATAAAACAAAATTTAAATGATTATTTATATAAAAAAAAATGTATTGAAAAATTTATATTTTAATTATTTTTTTATTATATAATAATATAATAATTGATTTATTTATAAATAATAAAGTAAATTTGTCTAGTATGTATTAATCGTATTTTATTATATTAATTAAATTATATAATATATTGTGACAAAATTAAGTAGTTTCAAAGTTAAATTTCCAATATCATTATAAAGAAAATGTATGAAAATTATTCATAAATAAAACGACCTTTTATTCACATAAATAAATAATTAGTTTACTCATTCTTAAATGACATAAATAAAATATATAGTTATAAAAAATATATATATATATATAGTGTAATATAAGTTAAATAACTATTTTTTAAGTATTTCTTAAGTATGTCAAAAATTAGAAACGGTCTCTGTTTAAAGCAATTTAATGATTCTAATTTATACAATTTACAATCAATTTAATTATTTGTTATAACGTCTAAGTTGAAGTATTCTGTTTCACAATATATAGTTTTATTAGATTTTAATTATCAAAAGAGTTATTACATAATATATACTATATATTAGCTTAAATTTAATACTGTTTTATAATTTTATTTTTGATTCATATTAATTATTTTTTATTTGAATATAACATTGAGTTATTATTTATTTTTTATTGTCTTTCTATGTTCAAAGTCTGTGGAAATGAAATAACGTCTTGTTTCTTTCTTAGAATAACGTCCAATTCACAGTCAAATTTAGATTTGGTATCGTTTTTATTCTAAATTCAACGCAATACATCTATTTAACCCAACCCAAATATTTCTGTATTTCACATGTGATTTCTAAAATTACTTATCTCGTTAGTTCAATTAACTTATCTAATTTATATTTTAAAAGTAAGAGGGTCCTTTAGTTGTTTTGAATGGTGAATTTTTGTTCGACTTACTAAAATCAAGTAAAATTATAAAATTTTAATGTAAGCAATAATCTTAACATTTATAAAATTTAATTAATATGAATTATGTACAAAAATAAGCAACATGAGTAATTTATATTTATTATATTTTATTATATATATAGCATCTATTATATTTTTTATTTAATTAGTATTATCAAAATATTTAATTATTCAATAAAATATGTATTGTCGGATGTTTTTTATTTTTTCATATTAAAATATTGAAGAAATTTAATTATTTGTATAAAAAAAATTATATATTTATAAAGTTTTGTATAACGGTAATATTACAAAAAATGAAAAACATTTAATTATACAAATAAGATAATTGACTTAAATAAAATATATTAAATATTAATGAATAAATTAAGATTATGCAAAAAAGTCTTTGTTCAACACTAGTGCAACATATTGCGTAGAAATATAAAACACAAAATATGGATGTAATTACAACTATAATAGACATGGACTGAAAAGTTGGTTTTATTTACATAAAAATTAGAAATTGTCAGTAACAAAAATCACTTAAATAATAAAAAGGAAACTTAATAACATATGTTGTGTGCAGTGAATAAATAAATTTTCAAAGATAAATCTTATACTGATGCATTACGCGTCAAATAATTATATAATTGCTTTAAATAAATAATATTTAATTACTAAATTTAGTATCATACATTTTTAGATTGTAAACCATTTTTATAATGAACTGTGGATAAAAATTATCAAAAAAATATTCACTTAATTAAATTTTAAAATGTTCAAAATTAGGTAGAAATATTTTATGATGTATTTATTTTCTTAAATAAAAATTGTTATATAACAATTTAATATTTAAGTAATTATAAATGTTAATATGTGCTTGTTATTAATAATCATTTACTTTCAGATGTCTATATGCTCTTCAACGAAATGGTTTACCACCAGTTACTACTCATAATATTACAGATGATTGGAGCGACCCAGTTTTAAATTCATTTAGAAGATGTAATTTATTCAATACTATTAATGATCGTGTTAAGGTATTTCATCATTATTTTTCAGTGAAATATACGCTATTTTATAATACAATAAGGTTGCACAATATATAATAAAATGCACTTTACGACTTTATTTATATTGAAAAGAAACTAAGAATTTAATGCTCAATAATCGAGAAAAGGCGTATTTATCACAGCGTTTTTATCATAGATCCAATTCCTAACAAGTAATTTATAGAACTGAAAAGAATATAGAAGTATACAAAAAATATAAGCTTTTATATCTACAATTAAATTATTTAAATTATTATTTTATTATTTTTTAATTTTATTACCCAAATATTTATGCATATTAGTTATTCATTTATCTATTAGTATTGAAATTGAAATTGAAAACTTAATTTATATTTAAATAAGTAACTAAAACCCTTAAAGGCAATTAGGAATCAAACTGAATATAGCTTTATATATAGTTGACTGAAAAGTCTTAGTACATATATTTATACAGAAAAAACTTAACTCGCTTCAATTAAGTGTGAAACTTGTAAATATGTTTTTACATCTTATTTAAAGAATTTCATTGAACAAAATATAAAAATATATATTATTAATTGACATACATTTGATGGTTCATTATTAATTTTCTAAAATATATCAAAGTATAATTCTTACTTTATGGTTTTTCGCTTATTGTTTATGCATGAACATCATTGTATAGTTAACTTATGAATCACGTAGACAATTAATATACAAAAATGAAACAGCATGAAAATTCATTTTATAATAAATTCTTGTAGGGACCTTCAAATCTTAACAGTTTTTTTATTATATAAACTTTTCAGTTTAAAGAGTAATATTTTATTGAAGCTTTTTCTCTAATATTCAATGAATAATCCTTTTTTTGTTTTGCATACTATTCTTAGTATGAAAAAATTTAGAATATTTAATTGATTTAAAGTTCATTGTATTTATAATATATTACAATCGTGATCAGCGATCATGCTACCATAAATATTAAAATTTTTCATCAAATACGTTTGGCACAAGAAATTAGTGTAAATGTTTTTAACAATTTAATTCAATTTTCAATCGATACCCTAAATAAATATTTCATAATTACTTGATTTACTCTACATGTCAATATTGTTCCTGTATTAATATTAGCTGCTATGGTTAATATGAGTATTAATTTTTAAATTAATAGGTTGTATTTCATCCGGAATTCCTGTCATCTACAAATCCACTTTTTGGTTTAGACTATGAAGAGTTTGTTCGTGGATGTCATTTAGGAGTTTTTCCATCTTACTACGAACCTTGGGGATATACCCCAGCGGAATGTACTGTTATGGGAATACCCAGTATAACTACTAATTTATCAGGTTTTGGATGCTTTATGCAAGAGCATGTAGCCGATCCAATGAGCTACGGCATATATATTGTAGATCGCAGATTTATAAGTTTAGAAGAAAGTGTACAGCAGCTTGCTCAATATATGTTTGATTTCAGTCGACTTACTAGACGTCAAAGAATTATCCAAAGAAATAGAACAGAACGTCTTAGTGATCTTCTGGATTGGCGAAATCTTGGAATTGTAAGTTATATATATAATTATGTTGCAAGTTCTTTTAATGTAGGAAATTCAAATTTTTAATAAATATTAGATGTACTATAAAATTGAAGTTGCCGTTAATATTATATAAATGATAATAAAAATTTCAAGTTATTTTCTGAAATTATTGTTATTTTTTAAATTAAATTGTATCATTTACTTCTAAATATCTATTATAGACAAATATCTATATAAATACACGTTATTAAAAATAAAAAATATAATTATTATTTAATATATTTATACATGTACAAAATTGGAAATTTCATATATGAGTTATTTGAATTTTGCATACTTATATTAAAATAATATCGAATATGATACAGTTATCATGGATGTTAATTTATATATTTATATACAAATTTTATATTGATTTAAAGATAACAACCTTAATTGCACAAATTCACCTTAAAAATGTTTGTATTTAAAAGAATGAAATTACAAAAAGTTGCAGACTTAGTTTAGATAAATTCAAATACCTGTACTTTAATTATTAAATTTAAATGCATAAGGTATTACTTCATAGTAAGTTTTTAATTATATTCCATTAAATTTAATATAATTACAGTGCATATAATATAGTTTGATATCTTAACTAATACATTTATTACGTATTAATAGAAACGTATAATTAATATAAACAAAATCGTTCATAGAGAAGAAAATGTTATATTTTTTTATAGAAGTATTTATATGTAAAATTTTAATTTTACGTATTTTTATTTAAAATATGTTATATATATTTTTAGTTTATTTAAGCAATGAGTTTCGAATGATTAAAAAAAATTGATTTTATATTGATTTATAAAAAATTTACTAATAATAATTAATTTATTCATTAAAATATGACTCGGGCTTTTTAAAAACTAACATTTAAAAAAATACTGTATTAATTATAAAGGAATAATTTAATGAAGATACAAAATACTAAAAATTATCGAGCAACATTTACTGAATAGGGGATATTATAGTTTAAATAACCAATAGAACAAGACATTGGAAATAAATACTATAAACGATAAAAAATATAAATATATAATTTAGAAATTTGTATTATATGGAAATGTTTTCGTTAAATATCATGATTTTTAGTTCGTACATTATAATTTTTGTAAGAACATTAAAATTTAAAACAATAATACAAGCGTATAACCAGTTTTTATTACCTCGGCTATTAAATAGTATGGTAGTAATATAATCTTCTAATTCTTCCTCAAATTTTGCTCTTTTAGTACATTCTTTAAGTTGTATTATTTAGCTATAGGTTTCAACATATGTACTATTATCATCTTTGTCGTCGTTTTTTTCAACTCAAGTTATTTAATTTTAAATGAATACAATTTTTCTACAAATAAAAATTGAATGTAATGTATCAAATGGTTGCACTTTAAAAATTTACCAAATTTTTGTAATTGTTTTAAGTTCTTTAATTCAATAGTAATTGGCACTTCTTTTGTATATTAAATATGTAAAATATTTCATAATTGCAACAGCTTATTATGAATACTTCATTATTGAAATTTAGAGATTATAATTTCTATTTTTTATATCTTCCTTTATTTCGTTTACAATATGATTTAATACGCTGAAAACTTTAAATTAATATATTTAAAATATATTTATTAAGTCGTTTAAATTATTCAAATTGCTCAAATTAATTTTTGTTTCATTTTTTTATTTACAAAAAATAAAGTTTTTATGCAAAATGAAAAAATATTTTAATGTAAGAAACAAAGTAATTTCAAGGCTCGAGTTGATTTTGCAATGCGATAGAATATTTTATTCTTATACTACTCATTGATGGATGCCTGAAATGAATTTTTGTTTATTAATAATTAGTTAGATATTTAATTTTTTCAATTTATTATTGAATCATAAAAGTAAATGAATTCCAGTCATCCGGTAGTTAGGAGACCAAAGTGGTTGGATTAGACCATACCATCGTTTTCCTGATAGAAATGAGGGGGGGGGATGAGTGAGAGGTTAATGCATCAATTCAGTACAGGCACAATTCGGTTTCATGACTTTTATTTTAATTTAATTTACAATTGATCAATATTTTTATCGGTAGTTGTGAGAATTGTTGAGCCCGACGTGATCCTGACAGTTGGCAGAGAAACTGTAGGGCGTCGTCCAGGTGTGCAAGGTGAGACAGATCTTATCTGCGGGCGTGTTGCTATTGTAGTGCCCTTATGGCAGTAGTATGGAAAATACTCTCTCTCTCTCTCTCTCTTTCTGTAGGCCTGTTGCTGTAGCATCGCCTTTCTACAGTAGTTTTGGGAGTTAAGTTCGCTGGAGACACGTGGCCAACGGCGTAGCTCCATTAGCTAGTTAAATGGACCAGTCTCTTAATGAATACAATAAGCGATTGCGCTAGGTTGGCGCATAGCGGTGTTAATGAGTATCACTATCGCGGGGGGCTGGCCGCGAGCGAGATACGCCTGGCAACAATAGTATGGTAATTCATTGTGAAAGGCGCAAGGCAATAAATGGCGCCCTCGAAGCGGTCTGATGAGAATCAAGTGCAGAGGGTTCCGGTTCCGTGAGCGAATTGCGTCTGGTGGCAACAAGTGGTATTATTTTCTGAAAGTGCCAGAAAATGTCGGCGCCCTCGTAGCGGTATGATAAGAATTAAGTTGCAGAGAGCTTACCGCTAATTTATGCGCTGGACAGCAATAAATGATATTAATAAAATAGTATATACCTTGCATGCATTTCCGCAGACAGATGTTTAGAACTTCTATTGGGTGTGACTTACACTATTTCACTTTGGCTCACTCAACAAGACTGATTTCTTCGACGTGCGCTGTTCTTTATATATGATTGCATAGACTCAGAGTCTGGCACTAATATCTTTGGTGTTACTGTGCCGAAGCTTTCCCATATACCGATAGAGTTAAAATTCTAGGCAATTATGTAAAATTGTTGGAAAGTAAGTTTTTGATAAGTTGTATGATTTTCTTAGGCAAAGGCTTCTAAATTTTTCTGATATTGCGAATTATAATGATTTAAATTGTATGACATTAAATTTTTTTTGTTGGGTGCGCCAATCCTGAACATTAGATTTATAAATATTTTCTATGCGTAGTCAAATTTTTATTATAGTTTTCCTTACATCTGTTGATGTGTACAAATCATTATTTCTATAGTAACGTAGTATAAAAAATTTCGACAAAGAACTGATTGATTTGATTTGAAAAATACAACATATAAATGTTTAAATTGTTTACGAATTTAAGATCTGAAATATATATCTATATAACTGTTTAAGATTGGTGCACCTAACATCAAAACTCCAATTTCACAAAATTGTAATCCTTATAATTCAGAATGTTAATTTTTATTTAAATAATTCAGAAATTTTACTACGAAAATTCTTGGTAATAATTACCGTTTTTGCCTAAGAAAGTCTTGTAATGTATCCGCATAGCAACTACAGAGAATCTCCAACCGGCAAAGGCTTGCTTTCCGACAAATTGACAGAACTTTCTGGAACTGAAAATCTAACAGCACGCTGAAATTTTCGGCATTCTACGCTACTACACATCGCTCAACGGGGATCTGTGCAAAGTACACTACTTATTATTAATTATCATTTTATTGCTATCCGGTGCATTCCATAGCGGTTATGTGACTACGGAGTGCCGCCATTTGCCATGCGTCTCAGTCAGACTACTTACCATTATTGCCACCAGGCACAAGTCGCTCGCGGTAAGCCTTCAGTGATTTCGAATCTTATTCAAACCGCTACGAAGGCGCCGCCATTTTCCATGCGCCTCTAGCATGGATAATTATCATTTATCTACCTGACGCAATCGCTCACAATTTACCTACTGCGAGACTGGTCAAATTATACTGCTAAGGAGCTTCACCACTGGTCACGCGACTCCAGCGAACTTACTTTTCATCTCTACTGATACTTGTGATACGCGTGCAGAGAGATAAATTTCCATAATACAGTTTGTATACCAACTGTCAGGACCACTGAATGACCTTAACAACACTCACTATTATAGGTAAATAGTTTTGTATAAGTATATCATTTGTGTAATGTGGCATGGTCTAATCCAATCACAGCGATCTCTCAAACCGCCGGGTGACTGGAATTCCGAACAATAACGATTGTTAACTTATTAATATAATAAATTTATAAAATACATTTTAATATAAATCGTTTTAGTATTATCAACATGCACGAGTAAGGTCATTAATTAAAGTCTATCCTGAATTAAAATCAGAATTTATGGAAAGTAAAGTTAAATGTTTAAATTATCCACGACCTATAAGTGAACCTTCATCACCTTTAATATCCCGACATACCACTCCTGCAACATCTATTCAAGGTTCAGATGATGAAGATGAATTTGATGAAGAACAAGAAGTAAGTGTATTTTCTATAATTTTTTTTTATAAAAACTCTCAAAATCAAGAATTATTACATTTGCTGTAAACGACTAATTTTTTTCAGATATGAGATTCTGTATTAATTAAACCTCAACTTTAATACAAATTCTAGTTTAAATTTATGCACTGCATATCGATATATACAAACATACTTGTGACTATGGTAACATAATGTGTAATAATAAACGCAAGTTTCTTTGTTTAGTATATTTATAGAAAGGTTGGGGTTATAATATGCCATACTTTCAAATTTAAAAAAAATGCTTGAATAAAAGTAAGGGTCTTAATGCGTTAATTTCATGTTGTTTTACTCACATAATTGTTACCACAGGATTATTTAGTGTCCCCCCAATTACTAATTTTATTATTTTTCACGATATTGCATGTTTTTAGTACATGTTTGTTATGTAAAAGCTCTTCTATAAACTGTCAAGTTTTAACAACGTATATTTCTTTTAGACACACTGTTTTTGGTATCTTGTTATTTTGCAAATATCTTTAATTTATGTCCTTTCGTTTAACATCACGAATTAAGTATTTACCATGTATTGTGTCCCAGTAACACTTCGGATCCTATTTGTTGATTACACATATTATACAAGTTTTAAATTATTATAGTTCAAGCAATAGTATACTGTTTCTACTGGTATTTACTCTCTAATCTATATTAATATGAAAGTATGTTTTTTGTATTATTCAATAAAATATATTTTTACTAATTCTGGTTGATCTTTCTCTGCCTTTGTATATATTTATATATATATATAGGTACACGTGTACAATAATTGAAATTTTTTCTTTATTTATTTTTATGATTTCATAAAATTTATAAATCAGAATATTCCCCATTTTTTACATATAAATAAAAGTATATTAAGTAAACTGCGTTAATTTGTGGGCTTTCAAGTAGTAATCCATGCTTTTGTACTTATACTAAAAATTATTATACACATTCCTCTTTAGTTTTTTATAATAAGAAAAGTTTATAAGAATAAAAATACATATAAAAATAATAAAATTTTCATCTAATTGTATTTTTAATATTGTTATTGATCTCCAAACTTTTTATTATTAAAGTAGCAGCCAATTAAATTTAAATTTCATTTTGTATATTATTTTTATGTATAAAATTATTATTTTTTAATACTTTTTTATGATAATTATTCATTCTATCGGTGTATTTCTATTGTTTTGCAATGTTTATTAATGTTTGAAGTGAAATAATTGTTAGATAATTAGATTTACATTAATAAACCTATTTATATAATTACATGTAATTATTGTACAATAATCATATTTTTAAATTAATTTTAATATAATTAAAGTTTTTAATTCAAATATTTTTAAATTAAAGGTACACTGGAATAATATATCATTTTTAACGAATGCTTATAAATATGCTTTATATTTTAACTTTTTTTCAAAACAAGTTTTTAAACTATGCATTGAAATAAATTAGATTCAATACTTTGCTATATATGTTCTTAGAGGCATTAGGTTTTTCTATTTTCTTCATTCATTGTTTCCATTAATACTGAAAATATATTTAAAATTATTTATTGTTTAATAATTAAATAAAACTGAATTAAAATAAAGTAATAAAAACAAGGAGAAGATTTATTCGATTAAATATATTATAATAATTGAATAAAAATATTCTGTATAGTATTCTTAATATTTTCAAAAAAGGAAACCTAAACTAATATATATTGTCAGTGTTAAACTAAAAATATTTCATTATTTGTAATCCCCTCAAACTCAGTATATAAGTGTACACTTAATTTTTTACATAATAAATATTTGAAGAAAGATTACAAATTTATTTAATTCAAGCAATTTAAAACTAAATTGTATAATTTAGTAAAAATCTATTGTTCATAGTATATATGTATATATTTTAAAATTGTATCCTTTATATAAAAATAATTTAATTGATTATAAATAACAACTGAATCAATAGAATCTTTCAAAATAAATAAAGAACTTTATTCTTTTGAAAATATAATTAAAATTTTTTATTTTTTTAATAATATTCTATTCAAATGAGATATAATTCTTGTATAGTGTGTTCTTGTTTTAGTTTTACAAATTTTCTGTATATACGCAAAAATGAATAGTAACTATTATATGATGAGTTAACACTTGGGAATTAAGGAAACGACGAAGACACATAGTATAGTAAGTAAATATAACAGAGAGGCCTGCTAGCTTACTACAATTGTTTGAAGACTAGATACGAAGAAAGAGAAAAATGAAGGTAAGAAGACAAAATAGTGGAAATCGATATTACAAGTACGAGAGAATGAAAGTGAGAACACGGTTACACTGCTGTATTGGGCTTAAGCTTCATTGTAATATACTCATTAGTGTTTTTCGCAATGATCTGTCTTTTATATAATTATATTGCTGAACAAAATTAGTACACTAAAAGTTACACGTTAAATGTATATATTTTAGTCTCTCAACTAATTCATTGATATGCAGAGTAAATAGATTATACTCTTTAAAACAGTTTTAATAATATTTCTAATTAATTAAATATACATTATGTGTTAATATGGCCTTAAAATAAATAAATATGAAACCACTATTCTAATGAAAGATCTTGTTCGTACAAGAGTGACAAGAGAACTAAGACGAAAGCAAGTACACTTCTATATAGTATGTTATAAGATTTTGTAAGCTAATCAGTTGGTAACAAAAATCATGTTATCAGATAGAAATCATAACTTATAAATCAAAACATCTAAATATAAAAATTTAAATCATTATGAAAAATAAAAACAATTTCAATTTTCGAAATGCATTTAAAAATATAGCGTGGAATGAAGAATCCATATAAAATACTGAAATTTTATAAAAAATCAAAAATCAAAATTATTACATATTTTATTTAGTATGAAATAAAAATGATATCTGGATAATGATTATTCATTTAGACACGTATTTGAAGCATAATGACTAAAGTAAATTATGTATATACCGCAGAAAATAATAAATTTATTTTTATGAAAATTTATTTTTATAAAATGCAACTAAAAGAATATGATATAAATATTTAAAAAATCTTTATATATATAAATATATATATGTATATTCGATATTATTTTGATTTTTTACAAATATTGGATAAGTGCAACTAATTTTCTTACACACTAAGAAATTTTAATATGATAATTATAAAAAATTAATGAATTTTGTATGCTAAAAATAACTTATGTATTTTTTCAGTTACAGGAATTACGGCGGAATGAATAAAGATATTAAATATAAAAATTAATTACACTCTTGTGAAAAAGTGTAACAGAATAACTGATCAAATAATTCATACCTATTAATATGTAATATACTAATAATTAATAAATACATCAAAAATAATAATTAATATTTTAATTTTTTTATTAATTACGTTATCAGAAATTTGATTAATTTATTAAATCCTAGTATTAAAGACGTATATGATTTTTTTCATCTTAGTCCATTGGGTAAAATTCTTTATCTTTTTCAGAATTCAATTTTATTACATAAAATTTAGCATAAAATTTAATTTTATGTTGCAAAATTTATGCTCAGCATAGAATTATATTTTTCTTTTAGCTTATACGTCTGTAGAGTGATTAGTAGTAGTAAAATAATTTTAATTTTATGGTATATAATAAATAATATATATCGATATATATGTATGTATGGTATATATTTGATAATTTATGAATATGCAAAAAACTATTAATACATTTTAATAGAGGTGAAGTCACTTTTGAGTAGCTCTATTTGGGCCGTGTACTAAAAGATTTGATGTACGTTAACAGTAATATAAGGATAGTAGAATTGTAATATATACAACTCTAATCTTATATATAGATAATAATATCCATATTTCAATTGTTTACTACAACTATTAGGGACAATGTTAATTACATAAGCTAATACACCAATCCTATGCCAATATTAAAATTCCTATACAATTTATTCTGAAGTATTTTGAAGTTTTCAAGAAAAACTTCTACATACATGGAATTACATGCTATAATCTTCACTTGAGGAGCTGTACAAATTATATCTACAATATTTATGGTTAAATATTTATTTAGAAAAAAATTTAAGTAGCTATTAGAATGAAGAATGATGTTATTTTTAATGGTTTTGGATTTTCTGTAGAATAATTCTTGCGATATTTGTAACTATATTTTTATTGAAACATCAATATCTTGGTGTTGTTCAATTTTAAAGGTTTAGTTTATGGATCGAAATATACCAATTCAATAGTTCAGTAGATTAGTCTTTCGGCAGGATAACTTTAAAGGAAATAATAATTGACAAAGCTGAAAAATATCATGTATTTAGTAAAACAATGTTTATTATTTGTAAATGATTATAATAAGATTGTAGAGTTATATTATTTATTTTTTATTATTATATTGTTTTTTATATTACAATTATAGTAAGATTATAATAAGTTTTTAAAATTTTTTAATAAATAAATTTTTAAAATTATAATATTATAATGGAATTATAATAAGATTATAATAAATTGTGTAGAGAGATAATTCTATTGAAGTAATGAGGGTGTGTTCTTGTAATTGAGGTAATGCCGATGTTGTAAATATCAGCTGATGTAGTCAGTCAATCATGTTTATGAGGTAGCATGAGAAGATGTTATTTGAATCAAGTATAATTGATGTATGAATAATTATACTTGATGTGGTATGAGATGTTGAATGGAATTTATTAAGTAATTAATTGTGTCTTTAATTATATTCTGGGGACAGTAAAAGAATCTAGTCACAGGTAAGAGTGGTTAATGGTAAGATTTTGAGCTCTTGAAGGATTTAATAATCTGTATTTATAGTCGATTAGTCGATCTGTTGTTGTCCTTTGACAACGTGCTTAAAGCATAGCAACATTTGTCAGCTGTTGAGGGCTTGTACGATGTCGAAGTGTTAGTTCGAGAGAGCGTAAGTGTGCCCTCTCTCTGCTAGCGGGCCTGTACGGTTTCAAAGTGTTAATTCGAAAGAGCGTAAGTTTGCCCTGTTTCTGCTAGCGAGTCTGTACGGTTTCGAAGTGTTAATTCGAAAGAGCGTAAGTTGGCCCGACTTATTTTTGTGCGAGGTATGACTAACTAATTTATAATATAAAAAGATGTACCTTGTGAGCTGCAGGTAAGGTGCATTAGTTGCTGTGTAATTGATTTTGATTACTATTCCAATTGGCTTCACTGTAATCAACACTAAATCTGTCGATTTTCCTTTATTAATGCACACGTGTATTAACTTGAATGCTGAATATATGGCCACGTGTCGTCTTCACAGTATACTAAAACACTGAGCGGCAATTACACTTGAGTGAGCGCGAAGTGAGATTATAAAGAGCATATGAGCCTTTTGAATACGCGCACGAACCGAAGGCTTGACCGTTCCGTGGCGGCTCTGTTGAAAATACCGACCGTTCCATGGCGATCCTGCTCAGGGCAGATCGAGACCCGTGTGCCATGGCTTCTACTGGTAGATGATTAGGCTCTCATAGCTGGCAACAAAGCATCGTCGTTGCTGCACTAATTCTTATACGAGGCGCAGAAAGAAAAATTTAGAACCTTCGAGAATTCGACGAGAGAAAAGTAGGGCGTAATACCTTTGTGTGATCTTATAGTATATTAGATTTCATGTCGTAAAACTTGCTCGGACTTGCCGAGTTTTGTTTATAAACATTCGCCCGAGTGCGCGTGCCGTGCGCCGCACAGCGCGAATGACCTACATATTTTTTAAATTCATGGAACTGCATCAATCTCGAATAGGTGTAGGTATTGACTACTTCGTTATATATTAAGTTTAATGATATTCTAAATATTATATATTTGTATTAGTATAAATGTTACGTAAAAACAGTATCTTTACCATAATTTGCTATAATTTACACCAATGTCGCAGTTTGAAGAAATTTATAAAAATTATCAAAATAATACAGTTGAACTATGCCGGAAAGAAATTATTTCTATGTAAGAGTTCTGTACAACAAATATGATTCGTTAAAATAATTAAATAAAATCATGGAACTCATTATTATATCATTCGTATTTAAAGTAATATACAAAATATATAAACGAATACACTGTAAAAAAAATAAAAGATTTGGTTAATCGGGTTATAACTAAAAAGAAATATTTAACAGATTATTTCTTGAGTTAAATTTTTTTTATTATTTTTAATTAAATAATTATTATTTTTAATATTATATTAATTTAATTTTTTTTTTATTTTTATTATATTCAAAATTTCAAAAATCCCTAATACATAAATAATCAATTATTCAGAACTATCTTAAATTTTTCTTCGTAATCAAGATCTTTTTTTATTATTTAAATTTGTTTTACATTTCAGTTTTATGTATTATTCTTAATCAGATTTACGTTTGATTAGAATTTACGTTCCACGTAACATGAGACATATTACAGATGTTTTCCTTTCGAAAAATGTATAAATAAATTTGTAAACATAAATAGCCAATCATTAATATTCAGGATACAATGGTTATTGATAAAATAGTTTGCAATTTCGCAAATCGATTAATAGAAAAACTAACTAAATTAACTTTTATACTTTTAAAACTTACATGAGTTAAATTAAAAATAAGAATAAAAACTCGTAATATATTCCAATATTATTATGACTCTTCAATTTAATTTCGTCAAAATAAAAATTAGTTGCAATAGTTTGGTTACTAAGAAATTTGTAATAAAAAGGGAAATATCAAAATACAATCTTTTTTACTTTAATTTTATGATTACATTTACTTTTAATACTTTCTTTAATAAAGTGAATTATGTAAAATATATTAAAATTGAAGAGATTCTGCAAATAATGCATCGATTGCTTGTTTTTTATCACCATTATATCTACGAAGTTCAAAAATTACTTGTTTCCGATGAAATCCAAGTTCTACTATTTCTTCAACAGTAGATTCAGTGAAAGGATCAAAATGACTAACAATTGTATCTAGTGTACCTATACTGGAAGATGGTTGATCTTCATTGTTTCTTGTAATTAATTTATCTAAAACAAATATATTAAATATAATTCTTTATGCAAATTTAATTATATATACTAATTTTTTTAATTTAATATTGTAAATAAAGTATAAAACAAAACAATATGTTTAATAAATATATAAAAACTAAATGTTCTAATTTTACATATTCCAATAATATACACATTTATTTTAGAAATAAAAACATTTAATATAATTACCAAAAATTAAACCACAATTTAAGATATTTGAATACATGATGAAATTACACATTTTAATAACGGTATTAAAATATTAATTATTCTTTATTTTTATATAGAAATTTATACACGAGTAATAGTACTGACTTCAAATTTGTTTGATCGCACGCTATGTATTTGGGATTGTACTTTTAAATAACTGTTGGAAAATGATATAGTTTTTTTGGCTCGAACAGCCAATGCTTCGATATCTTAGTTTGCCGTCCGCTCTAACAGATGCTCGGGAAGGAGTTAAATGGAAGGGTGTGATACAGTAGCCTTGATCTGATCCTGGAATGAGTAGTTCACCATAATTCACCCTCCAATGCGGAAGTACCTGCTTGGTAGTCCGGCCATTTCTTGGTATGAAGGTGATAGCGTCAACGCCCGTCGACTGTAGTACAGGAGGGTTGATGTATCTTCCTTCTGGCCAGTGGATCACTGCAAATATTTGGTCACTAGTTTTTACCGATAAGTAAGAGCTTTCTTCTGACTTGGCTTCCCTACGCGGATAATCCTTTCAAATTGGCTTGTCTACACAGACCGCACTTTGCTGCTGTGTCGTACCTTTGAGGCCTCTGATCCCACCTTTAAGGCCTCTCGCAAAGAGTCCCCTCTCAAGGAGCTTTTGGTCTTAATTTTCCAAGCAGTGTGCGCCGCTTTACGGCGGGATGATTGAATGTGCACACGTCTTTTCCCATTTCCGAAGAAATTAGGCTTAGACAATGACAATATCGAAAAGAGTGTCTCTGGCGACAGCGCCTTCATAAGGAAGGCTTGCTCCTCTCCGGGACTTAGCGATGTGGGGGGGGGGGGTTCTTGGTCAAGCGTCTTCGCTTGGCCTATGCAAGCGACAATATTTGGCGTACTTAACAACAATACATGCATTGTATGGTAACATTCAAGGCGCACGTGCGGCACAGATTGTCGGATGTCGCACGAGCTGGTTTCTTCTTACAATGAATTTTAGGGAATGTTTTTCAACTCGATTTTTTCAAATATTTTAACTCTCAAAATATTCTTGCGTAAACACTCGCCGCGTTTTTGCTGATATTGAACTGATTGGGATCTTTCTCAATCTCGAACAACCTTTCGATATGTTCAATGACATTGCATTTTAATATACGGGATTAATAAAACCTGTAAATTTGCTACTAATATAGTAGCGTTTGTTAGCAATTATGATTTTATTAATATAGCACATAATTGCACGATGTCAACAGTTTCCTAAATAAGTTTGTTGTTAGCTATCAACGTGCTTGTGATTTTTATAATATCATTTATATTATTTATTAATATGCACTTATATACAGTATTGATTTAAATATACACTCTTAATTTTTGTTCATAATCATATAATACAGTTTGTTCGAGATTGGGAGAACATTCTACTTGCCACACTTTCCCACGGTTGTTGGACACTCGAGTAGGTCAGTACATTTGGAAAACACTCGTGGATAGTTTTACTTATTCCCGCATATTAAAAACGTACTCATGATTTTCCGATGCAGTTAAACGATCTTGTTGTTTACTGCCAATAACAGGCATTCTGAAAGAGTATCAGTTAAAAAGTGAAAATAGTTTTATAACCTATTTCTGTTTACAGTAGATGACTATTTCACACGCTTCGTACAGGGGATCAGAAATTTGGATTAATAATGCCAATATCGTGTCGAAAACTAATAAATGTGATATTAATACAATATTGCTATAAGGTTACTTTTTCACATCTGTTACAAATAAATCTACAAAATAGTAATTATTTTTGAGATAGTTTGGTTGCACGAGATGAATACATAGTTAGTAATGTAACGACACTTTTCATTGGCATTTGCTGAGACCAATATGCTATAGTTATACTTTTCCAAAGTTATTAAATATTTTGCAAAAATCATTATTTTTCTTATACTTCCATTGTGAAGTATAAAAAATGATTGTCTAAGAGCTTCAAAAAGTTGCAGTATTTATTTCTTTAAGATCATACTTATTATCGATTATTTAGTTTGTAAAATTATATATTTTTAATTTATGTGTTAAGTTATTTATTTATATGAATAACAATATATAATAATAATCATTCATTTTTAAGAATATTTATACATAAAGTATTTTAATTTATGAAATATTTATAGCCCAATGCCTTCTGTTCGGGATTGAAGCAAATTCCAAGACCGCCGATTGTCGGCATCGTCGGACTTTTAGATCTCAGTTTTCTGTAAACACTTTGGATGAGAATTTTCGTATACTTGTTATGCTTTGGTTTCAAATGGCCCGCAATGTTTATATGGTCGTCGGGTAATAACATCGCCCGGAATTCTCTAAAGTTATTACGCCTTGTTTTTTCTTTCGTCGAATTCTCGAAACATCTAGATTTTTCTTTCTGCGCCTCATGTAATATTCCAGTGCAGCAACAACGGTGCCTTGTTGCCAACTAAGTAAGCCGCCGCGTGAATGTATAAGGCAAGCACGCGGCGTGCCTCGTACTTTTGCTGCGAACGTCTTGCAGTAACACGACTGCAGTAAACCGACCCCAGTGAACCGATTTAACTCTCTACCAGTAGAAGCCATGGTACGGCACTCGGTCTGCCCTCAGCAGGACCACAATGGAACGATCAAGCCTTCGGTTTTCATGCGCGCATTCAAAAGGCTTATAGGCTCATTGTAATTCTACCTCTCATTCACTCTCCTGTTATTACTACTCAGTGTGTTTTAGTATATACTGCGACTACGACACGTGACCGCATGTTCGGCAGCCAACCTAAAGATACATGTGCATTATTAAAAAAAGTCAGGAAGTACAGGAGTGATTTAACAGTGAAGCCATTGGAATCGTAATCAAAAGGAGCACGCCAGCCACACAGCCATTCAACATGCCCAGTCGATAGTTTACAGGGTACATCCCTTTATATTATTTAAACAAACTAATCACCTACGCGCAAATCAAGTTTCATATAAATTCTTTTCAGAGTCGATACAGGTGAAAGAGTATGCTCTCTCGAACTAACAAGTCGAAGAACGTGCATTCACCCGACGACTACGATCGACAGGTGACGCAATATGCTCTCGCAGGCAACAAGCCAAAGACGAAGGTTTGTCATTTATTTTTCTTACGTGTGATTAGTTTTCAACTACTCCCATTCTCACTAGAGGCATAATTAATTACGTACCAATTTCCACCGAGAGTATTTACATTCTACTAAGTATGGTCATTCTCTCTACAAAGCACACTTAATTTCAAACACCATCTTCTCATGCTCATTAATGAGCATGATCGACTACACAGGGTGATCCTCACATCATCAGCATAGCACCGACACTCAAGATCCACATTAATCTCCATAGCATTAACGACATCACCATCGCCCTGAAGAAATAACCTCACTCCAGCAATAGAATATTTCCCTTCTCTCACCTGAAGCAATCAAAACTGCAATATCATAATAATTTACAACAAGAATAAATGATATATTAACACAATAATAATATACTGTACTTAATTTCAGCCCTTCCACTTATTATTTCCACATCAGTGATCATGACGAGAGACTAATCCACTGAACTATTGAATTGGCGGTTCGAGCCATAAAACAAAGCCTTCATGATCGAACGGCTCATTATTTAATGAATATATTATTTGTTCTTTCATTTGAACTATTTATTAGAAAAATAATAAGTATTATAAAAATTAAAAATATCTTTTAATAATTTCCAGTTGTAAATTATATTTATAGTGAAAAATGTTAATATGGTCGTTATTGAAATTTACTATAAGTTGGAAGATACTATAAACAATTATAATATATTTTATATTTTAATGGTTACTAACTTTGAAATAAGATCAATTGTACTGGTCTATGTATTTAAAGGCCAATCTATGCAAAGGAACAGTGTCAATTAATACTTCATTTAACATAAATGCATAATACTAATAATAGGCCTAATTACGATTAAAATCGCGAAAATAAAAGATAGAATCTTATATATAATGATCATTAAATAATGCAATATAATTCCTTGGTAAAATCGTAAATCACTCAAAATTTAATAAGATACTTTTACATATTTTATTGGAACGAAATATTTATAAACATTTTTAATTAGCTACTTACAAATGTATCATCGACATAGCGTTTTATATATTGATCTGTATAATACAGAAAAATCCATAACATATTACAGAAATTAATTTATTATAGTGCATTCTGAGTTTGGTTTTCAATTTTTAATTATCTCTCAACATGAGTTTGATTATATTATAATTTTTATTTTAAAAATAAAACTTATGTAAATATAATTGACTGTTATTATAAACCTTTGCAGTTTCTGTGTATCTGATTTTAAGAGAGATTAAAAAAGTACATTTGAAAATATATTTTATAAATTCAATATTATAATATTATTAAATTACGTACCCTGAGTTTGATATTTATTATCTCTTGAACTGTTTTCAAGAACTCTTTGTAAATTTTCATCTTCTAAAGAATCATGATTATTAATGCTTAATCGTGCACATTCAGGAAGGTCTCCTAAAGAACATAATATTATATAATTATTATTCTGATGTCTGTTTAACTAACTGTTTATATTCAAACAATGAAAAACTATACTTTTTCAGTTAATTTGTTAACACATTATTACAAAAATATCTCATTTCATAACAAAGATTATCTTGTACCTACACATGAAACTTAAAATGTAATAAACTATAAAATTTCAGGCAATCGATAAAAAATATTTATATATATTATATAAATTTTATATGAAGAAATAATTAATATAGTTACCTACGAAGAAAAACAATTGATCTTTATCTAATATTTAATACACTAAATAAATTTAATATATTTTTATCAATTTCTTTTGAAAATTAATTTTATTATTTACTGTTGATAAATTTTTATATCAATAATATGTGATAATTTTCAAACATGTCTTTGGATTTTATTAATTAAACACTAATTTGTTAAGATTTGCTATTATTATTACTTTATTTATTATTTATATTAAATAAAACAAAAAAATTAAAAATTTCTTTTAATTAAATCATTTCTATCTAACCTTCTGTTAAGAAAGGTGTTTCAGATCCTGTGGTGCCAATTCTTAAAACATTGCTTTTGAGGTCGATACAGCACTGATGTCTTTTAAGCATATCTAAACCAAGTAACATATCCATTGGCTGTTCTTTGAGAACACTAAATGAAGTCGTTAAATGATCACCACCAATTTGTATTTGCACCATATGTATACGTCCAATAATTCGTTGAATACCGACACCTTTCGCTACGCCTGACCATCTTGCGTCAACTAATCGCATAATATTACATCTTTCAGCACATACTGAAGACATAATCGTTGTTTGAGCACCTAAATATAAGCAAGTTTTAATAAAATAAAATTAAGGTAATTATTAAGGGAAAAATATAGTAATATATAAAAAAGTGTATTCTCTGATTTTTTTGTTATAAACATCAGATCTATAAAGTTTATAAATTATTAGTACAAATTGGAATAACATTTTTTAATTAAAAGTTTTGCTAAGAAGTAAATAATTATTTTTAAGTGTGATAATTCGTTGACATTCCAATCAACTAATTTAATTACAAAAGTAAATTATGTATTTATAGAAGTACATATAAAAGACAATAATAAGGACAGTTTTTCTTTGCTGTATCGTATGAAGTTTGCTAGACATGATGACGTTTGAAACTTATAAAATTTATTGTTTACTTTATATATATATATATGTATATGGTTTTTCAAAAATGAGTAATCAAAAGATTGTATAAATGAAAGCAGGTAATAAACGCATAAATGTTAAAGATGGCTAATCAATTCTTAATGCTAACACCAAATAGTTAGCTATAATATTGAATTTTCATACAGTTAATAATACAAAAGGACGTTTTATTATAAAAATTAGAGTGAATATAATATTGATAGGTAGTAATAATAAACTTTAATGATTATAACAGTGCATAAATGTAATTATAAAAAGTTACTAACTTAGCCAAGATTTTTGGAAAAAGAAATAGTATTTACAATATATCGAACATACTAAATAAATATATGATTAATGCACCCATTACAACGTAAAATATCTTTCTCAACATTTTATTTCTAAAATAAAAATAAGTTTAAATTAATCAAATCATTATTTCATATATTTTTTTAATTCATATCTTTAGTACTTTGAAAGAACTTTTGTTTTACAATTTTTAATTTGCTCAAAACTTTTTTTTAGTCTTTTAATGCCCAAAGAAACAGTATGGAATAGTAAAATAGTTATCCAAATAATGTTATAAACATCATAATTACAATCAATTCTAAATACAGGATACTTATTTAACAATTAACTATAATTGTTATAATTTAACTATAATTGTTTAATCTGAAAAAACTTTAAATACAATTAGAGATAGTTTAATTTATATATTTAAAGAGGGAATTCTCATTGCATATCGATTTAAATATATTAAAAAATATCTTTAAGTATCCAGTTCTATGAATAGTAGAGTTAAAATTACAATTAAAATTAAAAATATTTAACATATATAAAAAATTACGAATTAATATTTTGTTAATATTATATATAAATAGTCCTTCAGTTGTTTTTAGTTGATATCTGTTTTTTCGTTGATTGAAAAAAACGAACTTTTTGATTCTGTTAATTCTTTTGCATTATTTTATTTTTTCATTTAATTTTAGATCAGATATTAAAAATATTTTATTGTCGATATATAAATAGTAAATGAAATGCTTCTTAAGTTACAATACATAAATAAGAGAATGAAGGAAATTAATTTTCAAGACTTAACCTTTTCAAAATTTTTAAAGATGCTTTTTTTTATTCTTTTTCTCAATTATCAACATTCAATGTTTTTTGGAAGTGAATTAATTAAAAATTTGCAAAAAGGATCATATTAAATATAATGCAACTATTTTTTTCATTTTCACTATATTTATGAATTGATATTACAAAACCTTTTATTTGTTCAATGTGTATTAGGAACTAATGTACAGTTCGTTTTATCTGTATTAGATGATCTATTCACCAGTGAAATGAATGTTCTAACAGTATAATAAGTCCTTAATAGGATATAATAGGAATAGACATTTTTTACTTGTGCATATTCAGTATAATTTAATGTGGATTAAAAGATATAATTAACCTTAGAAATCCGTAAATTTTTTATGAATCCATATTTATTCATATTATATCTATTGTTCAGGATTGGAACACTTCAAGACCTCGGAATTTTACAATCCTTCTGGCTCTCGAATATTCTAAATCTTGGGTTTCAAACACCCTGCAATGTTTATTTGGTCTCCGTATAGCAACCTCAGTTGGAATTCTCCTACCTTCAAAAACTTTGCATTTCCGGAGTTCTCGAAACTTCTACAGCTATATTCTCGAACGCCCGCAAATTCATCTAGTCTCTGTATAGCAACATCTATTTAATGTTGTCATCTGCATAAATTGTCGAGTAGATATATAAAGCAATTACGCGACGAGGTTCGCTCTCTTAGTGAAGACGCCATGGCACAGATCACGGTCTGTCTTGGCAGGACCGGCATGGAACAGTCGCTATCTCTCAGCAGAGCCGCTATGGAACGAACACGCCTTTAGTTTTGTGCGTGTATTCAACAGGCTTCAACAGGCGTTCAATGTAATTAAGTCATTCAGCCAGAGTTTACAGCAATAAGTTAGTCAATCAGTAACGCTAAACAGTGAAGCTATTCTAAGTAATACAATTCTGAAGTACGCAACAATTAACAAGCAGTCATAAGTACTGACTGCATTACAATAACGTATACGACGACAAGAAGTGCAACATCAAGGCATTCATCACAGGTTAAGGCAAGGCAGCTGCATCACTATGAGTACCACTAGCATCTAATACAGAACTAGCATAAGGCCAATGAGGCCCTATGAGAGGTTATCAAGCACAAACGCAATGAGGCCCTATAAGAGTGCATCTAGCTAAAGCCAACAAGGCTCTATAAGAGTGCATATAGCACAAAGTAACGCGCTATGAATCTATCTAGCACAAGGCCAAGAAGGCCTTTCCAGAGAGGAGACCTCAACAAGTTATCATCACGTGGCACTACACGAAAAACTACCAGAGATTTACGACCTCTTACTTCTCAGTGTAATAATTTACCACAAAGCCCAGAGGATCCGGAGACTTGCAACCTCCTACCTCTATATGTAGTGCATGCTAACGCCAGGGGCAACCACAACGGAACTGCAAGATCTCAATGATTCTCACTACCAATTTAGAATTATTATTGTGTAGATTGTAATGTGTTACGGATTACAGCAGTTTTAAGCGGAACACAAAGTGGGAGAGGTATGAGCGCGCAAACATTTGTTTTGTAAATATTGGACAACGGACTCAAAGAATGCTTTTAGTCGAAAAACTTGGATATACGACCATAATTCCGAGAAGTAATAACAAATGAACCCTACAAAGCTATGCCCTATTGACGTCACGACAAATAGCGACATAGTAACAGCCATCAATGCGCTATCGGCGCATCGAGTTTGTCCGAGAATATTTAAGGAGCTGCACATGCAGTGATTCCTTCTTCTAGTAACAAGCACTCACCACGACAGGACCGCCACTCTACACTCGCGGTTTACGGCCGCATGTAAGCAACGCCGACGCTCGTTCTTACATCTTACCTCTACACAGCGGTTTACGCCCACATCGAGCACACGAACGTGCACCAATACCACCACTACATTTGAGCTCACGGACACAAGCAGTAACGTCACACGGACGTTCTTCCACCACTCCGTACACTACGCTCACCCCACGCCGGCTGCTAAGACGGTACTAAGTTGCTGCCCCTACCATCACGAGTCTCCCACTATACTACTCAACCCAAACCTATCAAGAATACACGTACAGACTTATCGCCACCAACATTAATGAAGAAACACTCATCTATTCATTCTATCATACACTCATTTCAACATTCATAGATTATTAACTATTCACTATTTATTATATTTAATAAAAGGAAAGACTATAACCATTAAAGGCAGTATTGAATAATTGCACTGCCCCTAACACTTGCAAGCAAGCATCCACCCAATATCATAAGGAGGTTTTTAGTCTGATCACAGACATAATGTAAAGGCAATAAACAACATGAAAAGCAAATGTGTAAGTTGCACTTGCCAACAGTTTTTTCTCCCACCAAGCAACTATTGGGTCTAACCCAATCATCTTAGTCCTTCGACCGCCGAATGAATGGAATTCTAAACATATATATTGATATTTATATTGATATTTATATATATATATATATATATATATATTGATATTTATATTGATATTTATATTGATATTTATATTTGAAAAACTATAATATTTTACGATAGATATCAATTATACATTGAAAACTTATGGTACTATTGTAAAAAATGATGAAATATGCATTGTCATTTCATAACAATCCTATATAATTTTATAAGTTGTGTACCTGAATCTATAAATGCTTTAACTGGGTAGCCATTAACTTTGCAGTTAATATACAACATTACCACCGTACCGAAGGTTTCTGGATTATATTCCATAGCTGCTTCCATATTAGCTTCAATATTTTTTCTTCGAATTTCTTCAGCTATTAATTTTTGAGCTTCTGTATCAAATGGATCTGCATTCATCATTTTTAATCGTTGTGATTGTCTCTCTTCTCTAATTTTTACCTGTTCTTTAAGTACTTCAGAAAATGTCACTGTAAATAAAAATATTTGTATTAATAAATTCGAATATATTCGTTATTTACATGATTATATCTTAATTTACCAAGACTGCCTGATAAAAGGGCTTCTGCTAAACGAGGATTATTTTGTTTTAGAACAGATAATTGATCTGGATTAGCTAAAAACATATCTTTAATCATGGCGGGATCATCTTCATTTTTTTGGAAAGTTAATCCGTGACTAGTACTGGTTCCACTTTGTATTTGTAACTGACTTGTTAATGTACAAGGAACTTTAATTGAACTAAAATCTAATAGTGGAAAATCTGAAATATTAATTTTAATGATTTGTATAATAATTTCATTAAATAAATTTTGAAATACTCAAAATTATAATAAACTTTTTTTTCAATTATACGGTTTCAATTTATTTTATAAAATTTCCTTCATTTTAAAAGTTTCATAATTTCTTTGTGAATTTAATTATACTAAGTGGTTAGAAATAGATATTTATAGATTCGTATTTCTCATAAATATAGTATCACTATTTGAAACCTACAAATACATCGGGGCAAGACCAAAATATTTGATTTTCGATCGTGTAAACTTACAGGTTAATTGAGTAATTGCGGGATAAATAATTCTCAAACTAAATTGTACCTACATTACGATACGTATACTAGTCTTTATATTTAACAACTTTCTATTTAAAACAAGTATGCAAATTCCATCGACTGAATTATTAAATACCTAAATCTTCATTTCCATATCCGTATATATTCCTTATTTTTAACCATTTGAATAACAGAAGAATATGTCAATTATCTATTATATGTGTTCATGAATTGGCAGTTCGAGCCATAAAACAAACCCTTAATGATCGAACAATAAGTTATATATTTAAATAATAATAAATCTGTTATTTTTCTTAGAAACATTATAAAAAAAAATATTTTAAAATATTACATATGAAGGAAATTCAAATTTTCATAAATGTTTGAATAAAAATCATTTCATCATTCAACGAATATCTTATGCAACTGAGTTTCACATACGAAATCCATACGAAATGTTTGACATATATTTATGGATCTGAATTATTGGACTGAATAATGTGAAACTGCATTTTTTTTTATCTTTGATACATTTAATTTCTAATATTATTACATATACTGATTTTAACAAGTTAATGTTTAAACGTAGCGGTATTGTTATACTGCAAAAATTCTGTTAATACGTGTTCGGAATTCCAGTCACACTGAGGTCGTGAGACCAAGATGATTGGATTCGACCATACCCACTATTTTACTGGTGACAAAGTGTGAATGTGTGACAGGGTAATACTTCAACTCAGTAATTAACATAATTGGTTTTCGTGACATTTATTTCGATTTGTATTATAAAAATGTAAATGCGATTCACCGATGGTAGTCAGAATTGTTTAGACCGTACCATTTCTTATTGATAATTGCGTGGAAGTAAGCTATTCACTCAATTAACTGCCCTTGTAGCTGGTGTCTTTGCGATCGTATAGTGGCTATCGCGGCTGGTGCATTCGCACCATCAGTGCCGTACGCTTTTGCGCTTTCAATACATGACTTCTCCTTCAATTAAATTTACAGAAATTCATTGCCTTACCTAATTCTGCGATGACTGCGTTGGTGTGCACTTCTTATTTAATATTCACTCTTGTAATGCAATCAGCATTCTTGACTGTTTAACTATGGCGCACTTAAATTGTTATAAATGATTGTGGCTTCACTGTTGATTTACTAGCTTATTGTTGCTGTGTAGAGTAATAATTGATAACTGATTGATTGAGAAACTTACAGTGACCCTATAAGCCTGTTGAATACGCGAATGAAACTGAAGGCTTAGTCGTTCCGTGGCGGCTTTGTTGAGGTATATCGATTATTCCATGGCGTTCCAGACCGTGATCCGTGCCATGGCGTCTTCACTAAGAGAGCGAACTTGTCGCGTGCGTCCTTTAAATATGCGTACGGAAGATTACTTAGCTGGCAACAATGCATAAGTGTTGCCATGCCGAAAGGGTTGCATGACGTCAGAGTCCAAGGCTTAGCACGTTCGAGAATTGTAGGAAAACAAGGCTCTACAAATTTTATAAAATTCAAACGACGTTACTATACGGAAACTAGATAAAGATTACAGGACGTTCGCAAGCAAAGGTTTAAAATCATTGAGAAATTTCGGAGTCAATATTTATGATCTTGCGACCTATAACGATTACAAATTTAGGAAAATTAAATGTCTCGTTAAGTGCTCCAATCCTGAACAATACGTTTATTTAAACATCCGAGCCAATTTTATAATTTAAATGCTACTGTAGTTATATCCATCACAATATTTTGGATATATTATAAGGTTTTATTCTTAAATTTATATATGCGTATAAAACAGATATAATATTTAGAATAAATATATTCAATGATATTTTATGATTCATAAATATGCATCTGTTCGAAATTGTAAGAACCTTTCCCAAGTCGTTCAACATCTGGCAAACCCAAGTTATTAGGCGTCTGGAAAACCCAGATCATTAGACATCTAGAAATAGTTGTTACACCCAAAAATTAACAATCTAACGGACACAATCGCATTCACCGTTGTCAAGTCTAGCCATACAGTACCTTGGATAGGCAAGCGAGGGCGCTTCAATCACGGCTCCATGTTGACGGAAAACCCATAAGTAGGCTGCTCTCTCTGAATGAAGACGCCGCAGTCAGAGGCGCTCTGATTGAAGACGTCAAGGAAGTAGGCGTTCTTTAAGTGGATGCCATGGTAAGCGGAATGCATTTAAGGGAGACGACCACAAGACTCACTAACTCAAACTGGTGTTGTCAAAGGAGAAGGAAGAAGGAAGCTCCCTCGGCAGAGTCGGCAGTTAAGTCTTTTTGTGCCACCGCATAGAAGTTCAAGGTACCATAGCCACCTTTCTCTGGGTAGACTTCAAGGATTCAGTGCCAAAGCACACTTTCTCAAGGAAGAGACCACAATCAAGTTACCATCACGTGACACTACAAGAAGAGATTCAAGAGATTTACGACCTCTTACTCCTCAGTGTAATAACTTACTATCAACCACAATACGTCAAAAGGATCCGGAGATTTATAACCTCCTACCTCTGCATGTAGTACATGCTAACGCCACGTGGCAACCAGCATGGAATATAATACAAGATTTAATACAAGAAAATAGAAGATTTCAACGATTCTCATCACTAACTTAGAATCATTATAGTGTAGTTTGTAAAGTAAATCGCAATAAACAGCACGAACAGCAGATGTGTTAAATATTGTATTAATGCGCTACCCCTTCTACTTGCTCACAATTTTTGTCCCACCAGGCAACTGATGGTTTTAGTCTAATTCTAAACAACAGCAGAACCAGGTGCTACAGATGTAGATAATTAGTATATTTATAATATAATTATACACTTAGAAAAAAAGTATAAATTGAAAATATCTATTTCTAAATATTTAGTTAAAATTTAATTAAGTGTAGTTGTAAGTTTAAAATGTAAGAAACAGTTATAGAAAGTAACACAATTTAAGTAAAGCTATTTGAAATATAATATATTAGATTTTTAATTAGATATTACATCAAATTCAATAATTTGAATGAAAATTATTTAAATATTGGTTCTTTTAAAAAATAAAACGAAGTTAAGTGTTTATTCGAAAAAAGTTTGAACGATAACACAAAAAAAAACAGAAAGGTGAATAAAAAGGTATATTTACGATTCCACTTTAAAATACGTATGTTATATTATATATTTAAGAAAACTATTTTTTAATTTATATTAGATGATAATAAAATAATATTCTTACAACAAATTAATATATGTATATATATATATACAAACCTTGTTTTACAGTGCATGCTTCTTCATTAATATTTTGACGAATACGTTGCAGAATTACTACATCTTCATCTCGAATACCATGTTGCCGAAGAGACATTTTCTGATCTAGAAGGGGATGTCCACGAAATAATATAGCAATTTCATATGCAGGAATTTTACTCTCATTTTCACACAAAGTTATAAAATTCTCAAGTTCTAAATCTTCATTCACATCAAGAATAAAAATTTCATCAGTTAATGTTGTAACTGTCACCTTCATACTGAAACTTAAATTATAATAAATATACTATTAATATATTAACAAATTTTTAATTAAGAGATTGTCGATATTGCATTAAATAATATTAAATACTGCCTGTTTTCATAATATGCTAAAGCAGTTTTTCCTTTTATTTTTTATAATTTGACTAATTGATTAGGCTTAAGATTTGTATACTTATCGTACATACATGCACATATGTAATTCTAAAGTATAGCTCACATTTTACTGTTGACATTTGTCTGACTTAAAATAATTTTCTTTCCTTCACATACTATAAATCTTTTATATCTCTCCATTCACTCATAAATTCTAACAATACTTTTATAGTAATATGATTTAAAATAATTAATTCCCTGAATTTTCACTCAATATTCAAAATAATTTATACTAAATTTTTGTATTATATATTTTATTATCTTTTACAATTTATTATTCATGCATTTTATTAGCGCTCGTTTTCACTAAACACAACTCGTTTGCCTACGTGTTTGTACCAATTAGGAATTAAACTATATTGAGTTTATGATAGTTTTTACCATTATTCATTTTACATTTTTATCAACATACACCAGATTAGTTGGATGCCGGAGAAAGAATAAAAATCATCCGTGATATATACATACTTGAATTTAATAATTTACCTTTTCTTAGAATAAAAAAAAATTTAATTTTTATTACATTTTTCAAAATTTTTAAAAAATATACTCAAAAAATGTATTGTGTAATCCTTCAGTATTTCAAAATTAATCAAAAAGTAGCTCTATGTACATCTTTTAATAAATATATTAATTACATAACAAAATTTTCAATAAACTCTTAATTAATGAATTTAATAGTTTACACAATGCACTACTTCATTTCAACTGTATGAAGACACTCTCCGAGACTTGTTATGGTTTTATATTAATAATTATTCTATAATGGAACTATTCTAATAATTATTTTTTACAATCTTACTTCGATTTTAAGTTACAAATATGAGTAATAATACTATTTTAGGATCACAAAATTTTTATTTATCTCATATATTGTAATAGATAATTAAATAAATTTTTTTAAATGTTGAATACAGATTTGCTTCTAGAGTGTGAAACATTTGTGCGCCTTTACTCACAATTAGCTATGTTATACATGGTCTCATTTTCAGACGCGACTTATTGTTAGTGAATTCCTAAATTCATAATAAAGAATGGTAAATTCCTTTTCGTATATTTATTTTATATTTGCCTCTCTTCTTTCTTAAAGTCTATGATATTTTACTTTTTTCATTCAATGTTTTTCCACGGATTGTAACATTGTCTGGGCTGTCAGCTTGCTTTATTCACTACAAATTTCGGTTCATATTCATATACATTTTCTTGTGATCTATTGTGCGTGATTTGTCTTGTCACGCTAAAATAAAAAATTTAATAATTTTGTTAATCTGTAATATCAAATTCATGATATAATATATGTAATGACTAACACGAAAGTACTGTAATCATTTGCTGTAGTAAATTTATATCTTAAATTAGATCAGTATTACAAATAATTAGATATTTTTTTATTACTGATATATTGCCCATATTTGAATAAGTCAATGAAATGAAATGAAAAATGAAATTAATGTAAAGTTTATAAAAAATAAACATTGATTTAAAGATTTTTTTAATTAACAAACAAAAATTTTTATGAAATATTTTATGTGTAGTTAATTTTTTTTTTGTAATTGTAAAATCACTGTAATATTACATCGACAGTAATAACTCACGAATATTTAAAACGTAAAATACGATTTTGTCACAAAAATTAATTAATTAAATTTTTAATGTAAATAATTTATATTGAATTTTTTCCCTAAATTATTTCGAATTTTATATTGGTTAAACAGCAAAAGTAAAGGAAACATTTTAAGAAATTACTAGAAATATATATAAAATAAAAAAATTTATCTTAAAATATAAATTTTCAGAAGAGTATTTGTTTAAAATGGCGTAATAATTATTTTATAATATAAATTTATTTGTAAAGTATATTAATAATTATGTCAAATAATAAATATTATTTCTGTATGAATATAGATGACATAATAGGTCAAGATATATTAAAGTAAAAATAAATTGAAATATTAAGAAATATATAAAGAATGTACTGAATATTTTGGATGAAATTGTATTATTTAAAAAATACAATACAATTTGTTCATACATTAAATTAAAAGGACACTATAACAATTAATAAAATATGCTACACAATTTCTTCATTTCTAAATTTTAATTTATTAAGTCATTTTTGTTTGTTTCGTAAATTAATATTTTATAAACTATCAATATCATTACTTTTTAAATTACAAAAAAATAAATTTCTGAAAATTCTTTTGAGCTATCTAAAATTAATTATTATTAAATTCTTACAATATTTTGGTGTAAACTTCTTAATTTATATTGATTAACACGCACCTTTGATATTATATAATTTTTTAAATGATAACTATGTTATACATAGTCTTAACGTATCATGAATCTTTGTTTAAAATTGTTTCTAATGTTCGAGTATATTGTAATATTTTACTTTGTTGCTATATGTCTGCTCACAATATCGAAATTACATAATTGCTCTCTAACTTACGTTTAAAAATGTAATATTTAATATTTTGAAACGATAATAAAAAATATACATAATGAAATTTATTATATATCTTTTTTTTTATCTTATCAATATCTTTCTTTCGATATATTTCTTTCAATATCTTTTTTTCATTATCAAAATGATCAAAATAGTATATTAAAATAATATATCAAAATATAATTTTACAAAGAAATTATTTTAATAACTATTTTAAAATATTTAAAAATTTTATATATTATAATTAATATTTTGTAATTAATTCTTTCCTCTTTAAAAATATAAAATTTCCAATGTAACTTTCATAAAACATAAATTTATGACTGTAAACTTAATTATATTAAAACTAGTATAATTCCTATAACTAATGTGTGTTTTCTAAATTAAAGTATTACATGAAGAAATGATTTTATTTATGATATAATTTTTTTAGTAACACAATACAGATATTGGTTTAAAATTCAAAGCAAAAGTGGTAATCATGTTAATAATTACAATTTTGATTTAGTTTAAATTTAGCAAAAAAAATTTTATCTCATTTGTAAATTTGAAATAATACAAGATGTGCCTATTTCTACATACTTGTATTTTTTGAAGGTTTCACTTTATTATTTTATAATAATTCCTAGAATGGATTTTGAATTAGGTGATTCACAGAATAAATTATTATAAATGATTATTAGTGGTCATTTGTTTAAATTTATTAAAATAGGATATGGAATTTTATGGTTGAAATTGATGCAAGATAATTATATATGAATATGGAAGAATTTATACTTTTATTTACGAATTTATGAATAGTTGAAATATAAATTTCTTATGTAATTTTCAGATAATCATACAAAAGCAATATTTATTTTCAATAATCTTAAAAATATTTTGAAAGTTAATGTTTCTAGTTCCAATAAAGTATAAAATTTTTCAAAACTTTAAATTTTAAAGGTCAGAATATTTGCTTAAATATTTTAATTGCAATATTTATTATCTATATATTAATTGTTGAATACGGTACTTTAATTTTTAAAATGTTACATTTTTATATGAATTTCTGTATAAAAGAAATTCTAACATTAGTTAGAATATTACTTTTGACAAATTTTGATAATAAAATAATGTCTTTTTATTGAAACAATTAAAATTTAAACATCTATTATATTTAAATAAAACAATTTATCCCTTTCAAAATAGTTATTTTTATTTAACAATGTATTATTTGCATATCATAAATGTTTATATACTAACTTGACCTAAAAAATAACTTAAATTTTAATTTTTCTATCTAATTTACATTTTTAAATAAATTGTAAAAAAAAATTTTATAAATAAAAATCAAATATTGAAATAATAAAATGTTAAACTAAATATTTTCTAATGTTATAAAAACTATACATACTTGAATGAATTTCATATTATTAAGGAATAAATAACGTAAAAACAATAAGCAATACAGTTTGAATCACATTAAAAATAATTTACAATTTTATTTGAAATATGAAAATTAAAAATTCAATAAAAAAACCAACCACATATTAATGAATAATAATTGTATTAATAAATTAAACAGATTTTTTTATAAATTTTGACAAATAAATGAAATATAACAAATAATTAAATTTTTATAAACAAATTCAACCAAATTAAAATTAAATAAATATATTAAAAAATGAAGTTAAGATATCGATAATGTAATATTATATATTTATTATATAAAAAAAGCAATGTATTTTTTAATAAATACAAATAATTTATATATATACAGAACATGTTAAAACTTTTACTTTTTATTAATTTCTTAAAAACATTTTATAACCTATAATATTGATAACATTCTGAAGATAATTTAATTTAAAAAATATTAGCTGCTATTAATAAAATAATGTAATTATAAATAAAACAATGTAATCACCTGTAATTCTGCTGATGATATAAACAATAAGTAACATAAAAATAATTTACTCAAGATAAATTGAAAAGTTTCGATATCATACATGAACATCTATTCTCAATAAATTAGTCATTGATATATATTCAATAGAAAGAATACGCAGAGCTGCACGAGCGAGGGTTTTTATCCGTATACATAATATACATCATTATTTAAACTATTTTAAAATAATTTTATACAAAAATGAAACAAATATTTAACATATTCTAAACAAATGTTAGATTACCGTATTAAAAACCTTCATTGATTAAATAGCATTGTAAAATTAAATTTTTTAAATATTTTCATAATTTGATTTTAATTTTAAAATAATTACTGCAGTAGACGACAATTCAACAATAACTTTAATAGTAAAAGCAAAATTGTTTATTACAAAGGTTAAGCTTTAAACTGCATACTTAAATTTATTATCATTAAATTTTTAATTTTGAAATGGTGAAAGAATAAAGTATCACTAATTTACACACTGTTATTAACTTTCACAATTTTTATGTGAATCATAGAATCATTTTTATGTGAAGCATGTGCATCATTTTCATCACTATAAATTTGAAATATTTTAAAAATAATGAGTAAATTGTAATGTACTTGGCAATTTTTTATAGAGTTATTGTTAATTATAAATATAGTATATTTATTTCCCCATTATTGACGTAATTATTGACGATTGAACTATTATTTCATATAATTACATAGAAAATAATAATAAATTAATTGTAATAGCTGTAAATTTGTAAATAAATATCAATAGTTCATATATTTTCAATACTTATAAATTTATAGATAATATAAATTACTAGAATTGAAATCCTCTTTTTGCTATAATATAATTGAAATTGCATAAAATTTTGTTGTATAAATATATGAAGAATACTTTTAATAAATATCTGTCTATCTGTATTATATTTTTCGAAACTGTTTGATTTCCTGGTTCGAACTGCCACTATGTCGATAGCTTTATAATAATTTTTCGCCCGCCCTAGCGTATGCTTGGGAAGAAGTTAAGTGGAATGGCTGTACAAATATACAGTGTGTGCAGACTTCGTTAACCTATGGTTTATTAACAATTAGATTATTGATAAGCTGAATTCACTCTCGTAGGAGAGTGGGAACTCTGTTCCTTCGCTATGATGCAGTTTCTCCTTGGCAATGGTGACGATATTATTGCTAATATTGTAAGGATCAGCAATGAATTGTGAAATAATTGTGAAATGCTATTAGCAATGCTAGTCGTTGCTAATGTAAAGATTAGCAAAGAATTGTGCACACTCCTTGAAGGTAAGTGTGACGAGTGAAATGCTATTCTTACTCACAGAGAGTACTTCGAAACCATGCTTCTTCTAGTCGTATATTTTCTTTTAATTCAGTCAGCACCCTTGACTGTACGTATAAAGATACTCACTTCCTTCTGTAATGCCGTCACTAAGAGAGAATGTTCCTGAGTAACCAGCTCATAACTGAGTAGCACCTGTCTCGTTGTGCGCTTGCCTTAAATATCCATGCGGCAGCTTTGTTAGCTGATAACAATAGATGCCATTGTGCATTTGTTTTTCCAGACCTCCAACGACCGTTGGAAAATTACCCAGGTAATGATGGTCGTAGGAATTTTCCCTGACATGATAGCCATTGGGATTTTTCCAGAAATAATAACATTCGAGAGATTCTTACAATATCGAATCCATATAAATAAATTTCATAGGAGGCTCTTATATTACATATTAGATTTGTACAGTTTATATTTAGAAAAGGAATCTGTTATAACAGAATATGACAATTCCATTAACTAATGTAATATTAAAAAGAATTGATAGAAATAAAAAATAATAATAATTACACTATATTAATATAAATTATACAATATTTATAATGTAATATTTGCTACAGATCTCATTAAAATATAATCTACAAAGAATTTGGGAATGATCGTTGTTCGGAAAATAATCCGCCAATTTGACTAGTCAGCCAAACGTGCAATAATTAACGTAGAACAATAAAACCCACTAGATGTTATGTGGGGTTGCCGGGCAAGTAAAGGGTGAATGCACTGATTAATAATTAACACATGTCTTTATTATTTCTATTTATTTGAATTGATTTACAAAAGGGTGAATTACAGACGAACTTTATATTTCTTGATAATCTTGTGGTGTTGAAATATATTTACTATGAATGAAGCAGGTTATAATCTATTGAATATTATCGCTAAGAGGTTATCATGATTGTAGTGCTCTGATCGAACACTGGAATGCTATTGTGTTTATCTTAACGCGTGTATAGTTGCCTCTAAATATCGGTCGTAAGAGAGCCGAGATGGAGGTTATGCGAAGCTGTGCGCCATCTGTGGCTGGAACAACTTGCAGTTGGAGGGATTGAGAAGCCAATGTGGCGTTTATAGCTGGTCTTGTTCAAGAGTATGTCCGGGAAGCTTCCGTAGTTGGACTTTAATCCGTCCGTCTTCTACATAAGCCGAGAAATCAAGAATGAGTACTAGCTGTAAGGACTTACTTGCAGTGTATCGTGATTTTCCAGTCTCTCTTCGATGGCTTGTTATTACGTTCCCTTGCAATGTTGCAACCCTTCAGTTCTTCCTTGTCTCCAAGTGAGACCACAAGTGGTCAGGTCCCACGCAATTCAGTCTTGATGAGATCAATTCAACTGTACACTAATTCACAATAGTGGAAAGAACTTATTATTAAAACTCAGCTAGCTAAACGACTCATCTCTCCGGTCCTCCTCCGTGAGAGTAGGTCGTGACTTATCCTTCAACTGTAAGAAGTATTTGGAAAGAGTAAGTGAGGGTCATTACGTAGTCCCTTCCTAAATGGTTTACTGATCCCGCTCCACTTGGGATCCCTTCTTCCTTTATTAATTAACCAATCAGAGGTTGATCTTGGGTCGCACAATAGATTATGCACGCCTTCATTTCCACTTCCTTCCGGGCTCAGTTCCGAATTTGCTAATTGGGAAAGTGTCGGAAGGTGGCGAGCCTTTTCCATTGGTCACCTCTCTTTGGTTGCCTCATCCCTCTCTGGGACTTGGCTAGAAGAAGGGTCCGCTTGGGCGTGGTCAATTTTCCAATACGATCGACCAGATGTGGCATAGCCAAGAACAATGCAAGCATTGTCTTAAAGGCCGAGTGCGCACGTATGATCATTGCATGTTGTCGCACGTACGGGTTTTGGGTTGCAGTAAATATTTGTACTCAATGCTATACGCATATCTGATATTCGTTCTGAATCTACTTTGGGGTTCTCCCGGCAGTAAACCCATTAGGTTCTACTGCACTGGGAGTATAAGCACGTTCCGCTAGAATTTTCCAGATGTTTTATGACATTAGTACAAATAATTATGAGCAGGAAAGTATTGAAGGCTTAAATACAATTTTCATGACATTACTTGTCAGATATTTTATTGCCTTAATGAACGGAGTCTCTTCTTCTCAAACAGGGATGACGATGATGACGATGATGACGATGATGACGATGATGACGATGATGACGATGATGACGATGATGACGATGATGACGATGATGACGATGATGACGATGATGACGATGATGACGATGATGACGATGATGACGATGATGACGATGATGACGATGATGACGATGATGACGATGATTATAATAATGTTTATAATTATAATAATAATAACAGTAAAAATAGTTATAATAATGGTAAAACGATTTTTTAGGATGATGAGCCACCGGAAATCACGTATTGCGTGGTGGAGCAAACGGGTACACTCACGCTTCAAGCGATGACCCCGACGCTGCCGATGCCTGCCGAGGAAGAGCTCAATAAGATGTTCCTGGAGCTCGTTGACGAGCTCGACCTAACACAGACTAACCGCCAGGCCGTCCTTGCTCTGCCTGCCAATAAAAAGTGGCAGATCTATTGTTCACGCAAGGGCAACGGAACCCTTGAGAATGGAGGTCTTAGGACGACTGATCTTAGCGGCGATCCCGAGGATTACATAAACCGCGTTAAGTCCATAACCAGCGTAAGTGGTTAGCCGATGATAAAGAATTGAAAGGAACACCTTTCTCGAAGCCGAGCTTTATAATTCTTTAATTTTAATTACGAAGCGCGAGGTTCTTCTTCAAACAAACCTTTAAATTAATTGATTTATTAAGAAAGTCTCCTACCAGCCTATAACAGCGACTGTTTTACACTTGATTAATGTTAACAATGCTTTTTAATTTACGTCCATTTACAAAATACGAAATAAAATTAAAAATCTTGTTAGAAACACGAGGCTTGGTTGGTATTTTTTTTTCCCCCTCTATGCTTTAAAGCATATTTATTTAATTGTCCATTTACAGGATCCAAATACCGATGAAGCTGAAGAAGTTGCTAATCAAATGCGTCACGTTGAAGCTTTGAAAACTGCTCTGCGAACGCAACCACACAGTTTTGTCACAAGGTTTATCGAATTAGATGGCTTAAATTCACTTCTTCGAGTGTTGGAAACCATGGATGTCGAGACAGCAAATAGTAATCTTCACACAAGCCTTATTGGCTGTTTAAAGGCACTAATGAACAATTCTGTGAGTATATCATCAAATTTTAATCAATTGCAAATATAATTCAATCCAATCGATTGTACGCGCGCACATGCACGCGCGCGCTTATCTTTTCCATTAATTAAATGATAATATTGAAATTAACAATAAGTCTTATATTCGCCTTATAAAATAAATTATTTCATAATACTCGTTATTATACTTGGATGTTGATTTTATTTTACTTATTAAGAATCGCAAGAAGCATAATTATTTGCAGAAATATTTATCAATATAAGATAAATATGTATCCAAGTATAGATAGGAGGACATTGATTTTCTTTAAATATTTGCAGAATGGCAGAGCTCATGTCCTGGCCCATCCTACAGCTATCAATACGATATCTCAGTCGCTAGCAACTGAAAATATCAAGACAAAGATCGCTGTACTGGAAATTCTCGGCGCCGTGTGCCTTGTCCCTGGTGGGCATCGTAAGGTCCTCGAAGCAATGCTCTACTTCCAGCAATACTATTCGGAGCGAACGCGCTTTCAATCAATTATCAATGATTTGGATAAAAATTTCGGCATCTATAAGGACAATCTGTCCCTCAAAACTGCAATCATGTCTTTTATTAACGCGGTATTAAATTATGGCCCTGGTCAGGTGACGCTAGAGTTTAGGCTGCACCTAAGGTACGAGTTATTGATGCTGGGAATTCAGCCAATTATCGAAAAATTGAGAAAGTACGAGAACGAAACATTGGATCGACATCTGGATTTTTTCGATATGGTGAGAAACGAGGACGAGAAGGAGCTTGCGAGAAAATTTGAAAAGGAACATGTAGACACGAAAAGTGCAACAGCCATGTTTGATCTATTAAGGCGAAAGCTCAGCCATACCGCAGCATATCCACACCTATTAAGTTTGCTTGAGCACTGCATGTTATTACCATGTAAGTATGCTCTTATTTTACACAGTGTACGTTAAGTGTATTAATTACATTTTCTCCCACGACCGGAAATCCTGACGATTTGTTGTATTTTCTTTATATTGCAAGTATAAAGAAAAATGTTTAAAATGGGATTTAAATTATAAATTCGAAATTAACAATAACGCGAAACGGATATTTGCATTTTGGTATTTCATATTATCTTATATGCTAGACTATTGTTACATTGATAGATTTGATCTTTTAAGGTAAATGTTAATGAACTGCGAAAAAGAATAAAAATAAAAATAAAAAACAAATAATGCGATGACATTTTTTTTTTGTTATTTTAAAATAAAATTTTTAAACAATTATATTTCAAGATTTATTGTTTTCTTTACTCTATAACAATCTCATGTATAAATGTGACCATATATAGATAATATATATATATATATATATATATATATATATTATCTATATATGGTCACATTTATACATGAGATTGTTATAGAGTAAAGAAAACAATAAATCTTGAAATATAATTGTTTAAAAATTTTATTTTAAAATAACAAAAAAAAAATGTCATCGCATTATTTGTTTTTTATTTTTATTTTTATTCTTTTTCGCAGTTCATTAACATTTACCTTAAAAGATCAAATCTATCAATGTAACAATAGTCTAGCATATAAGATAATATGAAATACCAAAATGCAAATATCCGTTTCGCGTTATTGTTAATTTCGAATTTATAATTTAAATCCCATTTTAAACATTTTTCTTTATACTTGCAATATAAAGAAAATACAACAAATCGTCAGGATTTCCGGTCGTGGGAGAAAATGTAATTAATACACTTAACGTACACTGTGTAAAATAAGAGCAGTCTTTGCCAATAAAACGTTTGACAAAACAACATCGTAAATTTGTCATTTTAGATTTCGAAAATTTCTTGCTGACAACGATCAAGCAATAATGTCATAAAACATCTGGAAAAACAAGATAATAAACTCGGGAAAACCCAACGTATTAGGCATCTGTACGGATTCGCTCCGCTCGGTAACTTCATTCAAAACGGTATGTACTGCCCCCTCTTCTACCTGTCAACAAGCTGTCATAGTGTCTCCAGATGCGTCAGAAGCAACGAGAGCTCTTCTTGTCGTGAAGACCAAGAGACGACTATGCCTTTAATTAACTATGAAGCCACAAGAGGCGCTGCCCCCTTGCCCTGTAAGTGAGGATCACTCTGATTAGACAGAAAATAAGGGATGGGATTCAAGTGAAGTACATGACCAGCAAATGTATTCAAGAAGCACATGTTCAATATTTAAACACTCTCGATACAGTACTTATTCAGCTAAGAAGTGAAAGTCCCTTTTAACGTAGTTCAAGACAACGGTTGTTGCAAGTCCTAAATGACAGGAGACATATTCCCTATTCGAAGTCCGAAAACAAGTGTCCAGTGGCAGTCCTCGTCAAGAAGGACGTGGATAATCCCTATAATGAGTTTACTATTAGTCTTCGTAAGTAGTATCAACTACCATAATCAATTAACATTTAAGATTCAGAGTTTAAGTCATCGACAAGCATCATAAGGAATTGAGGCTCTTTTCAGATAGACAGTGCGGAATAATTCAAAAATTGTCGCCAAGTTCGCGCAAGCTGATGCGAGTCTTGCCGGTCTATCCTGACATAAGTTCAATGTCTGACGCTTATGAATCTACTCAGCGTGCCATTCAACGCTCATACCAGACGCAACACGTAGCAGTATCCTTCACGAGGTAAAAGCCTTTCAAGCTCTTACTTCCAACTGAATAACTATTGCAGTACGCTACTACCCGAGTGTATTTTCAATTAACAACAGTTACATGTGTCGCGCTACATTACAACTATAACCTCAATTACGCACGTGCTCACACGAACAGCGCTGAGTGTCGACGAATGAAACTTCGCACAATTCTGCGCTCATATTCGAACCATAACGCTGTGTTCGGGATTGACGCAGTTTCTACGAATTTTAGACAAAGTGCGTCATACACGCTGTACGGCGCACGGCACGCATGCTCGGGCGAATGTTTATAAACATCGAAACATCATTCTGCATTAGATGAGTGTACGTTTGCCATAGCAAACGCATTAATCCACCTCAAGAGTTTCAATAATTGATAATAATAATACTAGTCAACGTCCTGTAATCGGATAAGTAACAGAATAAACAGCATATACACCAGACATTCATATTGAATTATTATAATATCCCTTCTACTTTGACCTTTCATCGCTATCACACAACATCCGTGATCTCTGAGTTGTCAACGGCATCAATTTGTGTCCTTCGAACCGATCTTGGTAAAACAAGTTGGAACGGCAAATACATTTTGTACAATTAGCAATATCTATTTCAAAATATTAAATTTTAATTTCAATAATGCAATAAACAAATTTCAAAATAAAATAATTTGATTGAAATAATATAATTAAAATTTCAAAATCTTATTTATAATCTTATCATAATAACATCGCCTGGAATTCTCTAAAATTATTACGCCTTTTTTTTTGTCGAATTCTCGAAACTTCTAGATGTTTCTATCTGCACCACATATAGGATCAATTGAAAGCAGAATACAAAAGTGGGAGAGGTATGAGCGCGCGAACAGTTGTTTATAAACACTAGCCAACGAACTCAAAAAATGTTTCTACGCAGAAATCTCCAATAGCTCATCGAAGAGCTCACAATCCAGTCTTGTCTCATTTTAGCGTAATAACAATTACGTAGTCAACAGGACGAGCTCACTATTCAGTCTTCAAGCTACAGTCATCACTCACTGTAGTTATACACGTACGTAATACTCAAGCAGTAAGCAATCTAACATTATCAAGAGTGAACATTATCGAATCATACTACACACATTAACGGATCGTACCTAAGATACTAAGATAGCAGTAAAACGGTCCCCCTTTAGAAAGCTTTGGTACGACAGCGGCAGCACTTACACACCGACACTAAAGCAGGAGCGACCCAATCTCACTTAGGCGACTTCGATACGACAGCGGTGGCTCTGACGCATACTACTACAGCGTCACTTCTCGGAAGGGAAGGAATCACTCCTCACATCACGGAGAGTATACACACTCTCCTCAACACGTTAACCAATTCAAGAAACTTCCCCAAATTATTCGCTCACACCAACATTCATACATTTTATTATCATTAACTATTTATTATATTATTACATTTAATAAAGGAAAGACAAGAAACACTGCATGTATTATTGAGTAATTGCACTGCCCCTTCCACTTGCCAGCAACACCTCCACCCAACATCCAAGGGAAGTTTTTAGTCTGATCCCAGACAGAGACAAAATAAAAAATATGAAAACAAATTCGATAATTTTTTACGTGAGAGGACAAAAATAAGACTAATTTCATAATTCAATAAAATAAGTAAAGTATATAGTAAAAATGTAGTTATTAAATTTTGAAGTAATATTATACCAGTGTAAGATCACATAAGTAAAGTAAAAAGCTATAAAGATATAGAAACATACAGAGAGAGAAAACAAGAACAAAAAAGATATAGTTGAAAATAGTTTTATTGTGATATATTAATTAGTATGTAGCACATCAATAGAATTTTTAAAAATATTGCTGTATGAGATTATTATAGTAAATGTCGAGTATATTTCATTATGTATATAACACGCAAATACAGATATAGTATGATTAAGTCATTTTCGTTGATTCTAATATAGAGATTTATAACACTTATCTTTAATCGCAGTTATACATTGACGTAAAAAAGTACTAAGAAATTTTAAAAGCGATTTTGCAATGCAGAAGTTTATAAACAAATGAAATATAAGTATACTCTGTATTTAAAATATAATATTCTCATGCTACCCTATTTATTTATTATAATATAGGAATGTTATGAAACATTTTATTCAATATAGAAAAAGAAAAATGGGAAGCTACAATGAAATAAAGAATGAGATTTTTTTTATTAATATAAATATATTCTTTAAAATTATATAATAAAAATATAATTTTCTATATGAAAACAATTCTAAAATTAGTAATTAAGATTTATTTGCATGAGCTGGAAGTGTAATTTTGAAGTATACTTTCGGCATCCTTTGAACATAAATTTATAGATTTACGTGCTGTTTTAATAATGTTTTTGACCTTAAAATACAAAAATTAATTATTATTAATATTATTTAAAATATAATTATTTAAAAGGTACTTATTAAATATTTGTTATTAAATCATTTATGTTAACACTTTTTTAAATTTTAATAAAAAAAATTAAATAAAATATATATTATTACTCAAGCTAGTATTTATTCACCGATATTTTTTACATATAATTAAGAATTATTTAAATGTATTCCATTCATTCGATAATGTTATTTCTATTATTTTACCTAAGCATTGATAATGAAATTGAACGGTGCATATTCATTGTAGCTTTAAATTTATTTGGATATAATTTTGTCGTACGTTTTTAATTATTATTTAATTGTTTGTAAAATATATTGAAGAGATACAATTTATATTATTATATATACATAGGTTAAATCATATAAAAATATTTGTTATTTATTAATTACAATCTCAAAATTTAGAATAGTTACAGATATTAATTAACGAAGAAAATATATTATTTTACTTTTTCTGTGTATTAATATTATATAATTTGATTAATTAAATATACTTAAAAATATGTTCATATATCGAGCTGAGTTCATAATATCATTACAGATATAATGTATAGTTATAAATATATAGGCCGTACTATGCACAAATCCCAGAAAATATCGTTTGTGTATTTATTTTTGTATATATGCGTATATCATAGGAAATTTATTAAATATAAGTATTACAAGTATATTCGTTAATATTTAGAAGTAAATACAATGTAACAAAATACTGTAATATATTATAAATTTGAAAAGATGTACATAGCATGAAGTTCATACGCTGAATTGCCATTCAAAAATATAATATCTTAGCTTGAAATCGAAACGCTGCGACCAGAAACTTTAGCATCTATTTAATAACATCGCTTGTGCTTGAGAGAGCAAAACAATCTGCGATTTCAAATAATATTTATAATACAAAGTAAAAAAGTATTATACTTTAATTTAAAGACTCAGAAAGAACACATTCATTTCTGTTTATTAAAAAAAAGAACTAACTATTTAAAAAATTTTTATTTTATTACTTATGCAAAACTAAAGAAATTATTAATATTGTTATAAAATTGAGATTTTTATTATTATTTTGAAAGTTTTTTATATTTTTTTTGTAACAGGGTATTTTTCTGCATTGTACTATTTAAAACTTAAATAAACAAAAATACATTAGAATTTTTCAAACGGTACATAAAACTTCAATCAATCTTAAAATTTAATAAAACATAAAATGGCAAAAAATTATATTGAAATTAATTTATATTCAAGAGAAATATACAAATAGTTATATTCCATGAAAAAAGGAGAGCAGTAATGGAATAAAACGAGGTAACTGTCATGGTTTTTTTATTACTTAAATTTTTTTTAATATAATTTTTTTTAAAAATAAATTTCATTTTTTTTCGTACTTAAATAGCCTATTATTTTTTTTTTGAAAACGCTTTATTCGTTATTTATTCAGTTATAAGACGAAATTATTAATAAAAAAATTTTAGCTAAAATTTTATTAAAATTTATTCTATTAAAATCTATATTTTTTATGATAATTTAATAGTTATATCTTGAATTTTTATACTTGTTTATCAAGAGATTGGTACAAAGCATCCTATCGCAAGTTAACGTGAATCAAAATAGGCAAGAAATGTATTTGGATATATAAAAATAACACTAATTATTCAATATCCATTGCAATTAAAATATTAATATATATTTACGAGTTATTGAAGATTGAAATCTTTTGTAAATTAAAATAAATTAAAATAATGTTTAAACAAATAAATATATAATTGAAATAAATACAAGAAAATTTATACTTCATAAATTCAGTACAATTTTGTCAACGACTTCTTGACTAAAAATAATATTATTAATAAGTAACATTGTTTATAAAAAATTATATCGTAGCTCACACATTTTATAAATTATAATCTTAATCATTTAATAATATTTGCTTATTTTTTATTCTATAAAAATATTTTTTTTTATTTTTATGATTAATTATTGACGTATTTTTAAAGTATATTAAATTATTTTGTATTTGAAGAATAGATTAGATCGCTTCATAAACATTTTTGCTTCTGAATACTTAACAACTGATTATACTAAAATTTTGATACCATGACTGTATAATAAGATTTATTAAATATTGTATTAAATTTTTATTTTGCATGTTGTTTAGAATATATTTGAAAGTCGCATAAAAATAATTACAATTAATTTATAAAATAATTGAAAAAAATTTGAAGTACAATTGTTTGATTTTAATAAACTTAACGAATATAAACATAATAAATAATATAATTTATTCAATTGCCTTTATTATTCAATTAATCCAAAGAGTTATACTTACTAAACTACTAAAAAATTCAAAATGTTTTTGACTTTCTGAATATCTTTCAAATTGATCCAAATTATCTTCTAATTTTAAAGTTAAAGTATCATAATTTTGAATAATAATTGCCATGATTTGACTTTCTGTAGGGGTAGAAATATTTTCCTTTGTTAACCACTCACTTATTTTTAAAGGAAAATGATTACAAATATCCCGCAAATTTATTAAAGAAGAAGTTAATTTCATAGCACTTTCTTTATGTTCATATATTTCATTATGTGAATATCTAAGAGCTAAAAAAATAAAATAGTTATTTTCAAATATATAATAATACAATCATTGAAATATAATCAACACACATACACACATGAAAAAGTATACTAAAATTTTTGCTAAATTAGATATTATTTAAATGTGAAATAACAATTTAATAATATAATATAATCGATATATATATACTTTAACTATATTCCAATTATTTTAACATTAATTCTATACTAATACTGTAAATTTCGTAATATATAATAGTTTATTAGTATAAATTTTTATGCATAAGGTTAATAACTTACCTAATGCATTTAAATCGATAAATATTGATTTCATTCTAATAATTTCATAAAAAAATTCATCGTAAGTATTAGGAGACAGAAGAAACATATCGCCATAAGTTATGAAGATATTCAATATATTTACAACTTCAGATGCTAATGAAAATATATTAATTTGTTTTATTAAAAAACTTTCATTTGATGATAAAAATTTTAAAAGATTTATGAGAACAGTCCATAACTTCGTCCATTGATAATTTAATCGTACACGACATCGTTTCTGATAACATAATATTCTTAATAGAATTCCAATACACTGGTGATAAAGATCAATTGGAAATTTCTTTATCATATTCGAAGTAATAAATTTTACAATTAAATCTAAAAATTATTAATGATACAATTTATTGCAATTTATAATATATACATATAATAAATAATTAAGACTTACCTAAAAGAGTTGCCGCTAATGGCTGTGATGAGGCTATGGAGTTATTGAATTTTCTTTGCATTGGCATTTTATATAATTGAACACGAAATGCTAGATTATCATCGTGCATTAAACTGTTTGCATATTGGTCTTCAGAAATACAATTTAATATTAAAAAACATAATTTTACATTGTAACTTATTGTTTCTGTTTGTGTATCTTGTATTACTATAGAGCTAATATAAAATATTTTTATTAGATATTTGTAATAGAAAATATTTACAATGCACCCAATGTTTATAAATTGTAAATATTAGGAAATTTTTTTTTAAATTTCAACTTTTTATAATATTTATTTCATAATTTCCTAATATACTTAGGTTTGATTAACTTAAAACGTATCAACTGACCAATAATACATAATAGTAAATTATTATTTTATTGTCTTAAACTGAATGATAGGCATCAAAATTAATGATCATAATAATATAAAAATAATAAACAATGAGTAAGACAATTAAGTGAATAATAAATGATGAATGAAGTAAATGAAAGAATAACTATAGTTTTTTATGTTTTTTATACTTTTCATTAAACTTAATTAATTTTGAATTAATAACAAAAATATATTTTGGCACGTGTACATAGTAAAATAAAATTATCAAAATATTAAATATTATAAGTACAATTACAATTTGTTCTTTATAAACTAGTCTTATTTATGTTTATTAAAATAACAAGATCTATTTTCCAGCTACATTCCATTTACATACATGTTGTATGTATGTTTACACAAACACATACACGCACCCACACAAAATAATAAACTAATATAAGACAGTTTCACTGATATTTGAAAAATCAAAATCATTATTTGCTATCCTAATTTGCTGTATATAGAAACATACAGATTGATATTAATTCAGATGATAGTGATTTATGTGAATGGGAATATCTCTATTGACTTTATAACAATAATATTATCGTGACTTCATATTCATTATTATCTAAGCTCGTGAAGTAGTAAAATAGTAATATTCTAAATATTAAATATTACCTAACTACTCAACAGCCGAAAATGTCGTCCAGGATCGAGCAGTTTAGATCTGTAAATTGTTTTTTGTAAAATTGATCTAATCAGTCAGTTATAAATTGCATTTAATATGATCTATACTTAGTATTAAAGTAATTATTCAAATTATAACTATTATATTAAGCTCTTGAAAGGTGTTTTTATTCAACATGAATTTCAATTCCTCAAATTTATGTAAATTTGTATTGACCAATTTGTATTTGTATTCACCAATTTTCGTTTAAAATAAAATTGAAATAAACTAGACCTGTATATTATTCATTATTGTATAAAAAATATATCTGATTCCATATATAACCAATACGGTTTGTCGGTATGCTAATCGGTAACTTCATTTGGTTAACACAGGTTAATCTACATAAACCAAAGCAATGCATTCGATATTCAATTATATAACAAGATTACGGATTTACTTCTATTGCAGTTTTGAAAAGAGAACAAAATACTATTGTTGTTGATTTTACAATATTCAATTCTTTTGTCTAAAATAACTATAAACTAACTACTAACTTCGCCGTTCCGGCTTGTTTTACCAAGGCCGGTTCGAAGGATACAAATTGATGCCGTTGACAACTCAGAAACCACGGGTGTTGTGTGGTAGCGATGAAAGGTCACAAATGGAAGGGATATTATAATAATACAATATAAATGTGACTGATGAATGTGCTGTTTATTCTGTTATTTATTGATGACAAAGTTGACTAGTATTATTATTATTATTAATTATTGAAATAATTCTTGTAGTGGATTAATGTACACTCATCTATGCAGCGTGATGGTTGAATTTGCGCGCAGAATGGCGCGAAGTGTGATTCGTCGACACTCGCGTTGCTTGGATGAGCACGTGCGTAGTTGAGGTTATGGTTGTAACGGAGCGCAACACATATAGTGTTGTTACGTGATGTATTCGTATCGTAACAAGCGTACCCTGTCTTGATGTTTGCGCACTGCAATAAACTCAGATGGAAGTAAAAGTTTGAAGGGGTTACCTCGTTAAGGATACTGCTGCGTATTGCAGTTGTTATGAGCGTTGAACGATGTATTGCGTAAATTCATAAGCGTCCGACTTTGAACTAAGGTGAGGGTTTCCCGACAAGACGCGCTTTAGCTGGCGCGAACTTGGCGACGTGTTTGAAATCTATTCCGCACTGTTACTCTGGGGATAGCTTCTTCGCCCTTAGTTGCTTGTCGATGATGTCATACTCTGAATCGCAAAGTATGTAATTATTGTAATATTAATATTACTTACGAATACTGCTGGTGTATTGAAATGGGGACCACCTTGTTCTTTCTTCAAGGGGGCTGTCCCTGGACACTTGTCGGAATGCGTCTCTAGCCAATAGGAATTGTAACGATAGCTGTGTTGAACTACGTAAATAGGAAACTGACAGCGTCTTCGGACTCCTATAAGGGAATGTGTCTCCCGCCAATAGGACTTGTAACTATAGTTGTCTTGAACTACGTTAATAGAAGACTTCCACTTGTTAATTTAATAAGTACTGTATTGAGAGTGATGAATCTTGAAAAATGCGCCCCTTAAATACATTTGCTGACCATGAACTCCTTCCCTTATTTTTCGTCCAATCAGAAACTCCTCCCTTACAGAACAAGGGCAGCACCTCTTGTGGCTTCATACTTAATTAAGGGCCTAGTCGTCTCTTGACCTTCATGGTAAGAAGAGCTCTCGTTGCCGCTGACGTATCTGGCGATAGCATGACAACTTGTAAACAGCTGGGGGCGGGGGGATCCGCTCATACATACTGCTTGAAGCAGTTACCGAGTGGAGTGAATACGTACATATTTATGCCAACTGAATGGGGTTTTTCCGTGTTTATTGTATTGTTTTTCCAGATGTTTTATTACACTATTGCTAGATGGTTGCGAGCAAGAAAGTTTTGAAATCTAAACACAAATTTTACGATGTTGTTTTGCCAGATGTTATATTGCATTGAAAAAAGGTCTCGCAATCTCGAACAGAAAGGATTCATTTATTTGCTTATTCTGTACATTACTATCCATTTCCAATGTTAATAATACAAGTGCTAATTAATGTAACGGTGGAAAAATTGTAGATATAGTTTTCAAATCTAATTAAAGAAGAAGATAGTGTTTAAATCATTAGTAATTTTATTAAATGAGAATCAAATTTGAAATAATTAATTTATGTACAATAGTAATTGCAGAGGCTCTAAACGTTTGCAAAACTTGTATGCAACATAAATGATGCAATAGATAACCATTGTGAACTTGAACATAATTAACAAATATAATAACGAATGATACAATATTCAATCGCACGATAATACACTATTTGCCTGTAAATGGTTAATAGTTAATACACTATTGGCCTGTAAATTGTTTAAACCAATAATTATAGTATAACCAATCTGGTATCATACTTGTTAGTATCCGAAAGCAACATATAATATAGTAAAAGAAACAATAGATTAATAAATTTAATATAAAGTAATAAAAAATGGATAGAATAGAGGAATTAACTTGGATCATCTAAAGATAGCGAAAGATACTATATATTCTTGTTTCGTAGTTACATTCTGTACTCTCAAAATAATCATAAAAGTCGACTTGATACATTTGAAGCAGCACACTTAAAACCATTACTAATACCAAAAAATGTTATATTAAAATAAGAAAATACTCTTTATCTAAATATAGATTGTTATTGAAATAGATCGTAGTCAATAAAATAACTACATTAGAAAAAACTTGTTAACTATCACTGACATAAATTTTAGAAGAGTTACAGTACATTCTGTATCATTTAGTTTTTTAAAAGAACTTCTAAACAAATAAAAAATTTAGCTTTTATATAAACTGTTATAAATTTTAATATATTATATATAATCAAACATTAATCAGTAGATTCCATTAAAAAATAATACGTTATTGTTCCTTTAAGCACACTGGCGTAACTATAATATTAATATAGTATTTTCCTCTCCTACCTCTCAACAATTAGTCGATATTATTACATTGACTCTAAAATCGAGAAATATTCATTGATTAATTCTAGATATACACTGTTGATTTTGAAAATTTCAATTAGGATGCTTTTTCAAATATAAATTGTTGAAATACTGATACAGGTTACTGATCCATATGGAATGTACAAAATAATATGGTATTCTATTTATGATCAATAAACGTACTTGATTTTGTTCTAAAGTTGATACAACTGTTACTATATTTATATCGTTTTATCAACTTCTGAAAATAAGGTAACGATATTATAGGTAATTTTTTTTATAAATGTTTAATCATTATAATAGTATCATAGTTTATATTAGTTACACTTGAAATAAGGTAGAAATGATGTTGTTTAATAGCGGCTGACTAACACCACTAAGTAAGTCATATTGAAGATGAAGAATTCATTCATAGGTTTCATACTCTTTATTGTTATGTGTTGTCAAACTGTTCACAAAACGGATAAAAAATAAAGAGTTAACAAACTTTGTAGGCAATCAACTAAAATAATATTATTTTGAGGTGTACTGATGTTAAAAAGAAGAAAATGCCTGGATACCAAAATATCTACGAAGGTTATATAGTATGAGAAAAAAGTGGCTCTAATCATATTTAAAAGTATATTTTATGATTCTTAGAAATTCCAAAATCTATTAATTTTTCAAAGTTATCAATGATAATTATTGATACTAATAAATATATCACGATTTTTGGCATTGAGAGTATAATGAAAGGAAAATATGAATCTACAAAGATATGTAAGAACACACGAGCAAGTATAATTTATATATATAAGTTTCTATAAATTTTGTGTAAGTTTAATGCATGTGAATGAAGATATACTCTTGTTTCTAATATCTATAGAAATATAAAATATGTAAACATTTCACGCGATTGTTAACTTTCACGTAAAATGGCAAGGTAAATCTCATAAATTAAGACATACATTGTTTGAAAAATCTCAACGGCTATCATTTCAAGGAAATTATTCAACGGTCATAAATTCTAAGAAAATTCTACAACGGTCATTGCAGGTTCGTAAAGGCGATACATATGAAATGATACACGTGCACAATCACCTCCATTAATTTTCGCACCACAGTCGTACCCATTGTTTCTAGCGCAATTATCGGCCCTTTGTTGTCAGCTAATAAACCTTCCGCGTGACTATTTAGAACAAGTGCACCAGTACACTTTCCGTTATTCTATTCACCCACAAAGACTAGTCGGTCAACAAACTACTCACCACGATAGAAGGACGACACATCAATTCTCCTATGCCGCACTTAAAAGATGTTGATCATCTTATAATACAATTCATCCACACAGAGCATTCGGGATATGATCAGTTACGACGTGATAGAATATAATGTATACCCTTCTATATATATATATATATATATATATATATATATATATATATATATCAATTATGTAATTGTAAATAAGCCTTAATAAACCATATTTATCGATGAAGCACACACTGTACTTTACAGCCCTTCCACTTAACTCCTTCCCAAGCACTCGCCCGGTCAGACGGTAAATTAATGCTATCGTAACATTGGCAGTTCGAGCCAGGAAATAAAACAGTTTTGAAAATACACGATGACTTAAATATGAAAATGACAATGCAGATTTCTTTCAACTATTTCACTTTTTAATATTGATTATGATGAGTACTCTTAAACTAAGAAAATTTATAATAGTCATTCTATTGCAATGTGAACAAAACGCCCTTATCTCTTATATAAGTTATTTTTATATACATATTTTTTATATTATTAACAATCGCGTACACAAATACACTTGATATTAAAAGGAAAAAATATTTATATTAACATAACAAATTCTCATTCCATTATTTTACAAATTACTTTTATTAATATTTTTAAACAATAAGATATAGCTCAGATTAGTTCAGTGGCCCGTATTTATTTTTCTTTATATTAACATTATATTGGACATATTTATTGATACATTGTATATGTAAAAGTTAGTAATTTCTGTAACATTATAACAATGTATACATTTTTCAGTTTTATAAGTTATAACTTAAATAATATATATATAAAGGTAAAAATTGAATAAAACGTTGGAAGTCATTTAACTGCAAAAATAAAACAAAACATATTTTTATAAAAAGTATTTAAGAAATTAATAGAATATAGTTACTAGAAAGTTTTAAAGTTTTACACAATAGTAATTATCAACAATAGTTACTATACAGTCTTCTTCAATTACTTAAGTTTAATTTCAAGTAATGGAACCCTTTTAAATATAGATTAAATTTTAATTTATTTTCAATTAAGGAGTTTATTAATACAATTTCAATCTTCTGAACAGTGTTTTGTCTGTTAATTAAAAAATGTATAAATGATTATATATTTAGTCACAAATATGTCACTTTTAAATTTGCGGAGATATTAAAAAAGAAAAAAATTGAAATCGCATGTTTAAATGTACTGATTATAAACAGAATATATGTATATTAATTAATATGTGTTTGATAAATTAAAAAATTTATATAATTTAAATTACCAGTATTGAAAAAAAATAGCTAATAAATTAAAAGGCTGGGTAGTAATATCGTTAATTTGAAATCCCATTATTAATTTTTTTGTAGTTAATGTATTATTTAGAACCGATGATGAAGTAGTTTCACTTTGTGTATATGCTAATGTTGTTACAAAATTTCTATTCAAATGGGTTGCCTCATATAATGCAAGTAGTAAAGCGTTATTCTCTCGAATCTGTTGACTCTTAATTTCTTCATCATTTATAAGTCTGTTACCAACTATGCCCGTAAACGAATTCAACCAAGAACTCTGCATATCTGTATACATAAATAACAAGAATAATTAACATTTAAATAATAAAACCGAATGCATTTATACCTGATTTAAGTTGAGTAAATTGTTTACAAAATGTGGATAAAAAACTAGAAATAATTTGTCCATATCCGTTTAATGCAAGTTCATCGTCTAAAATGGATAATTTAACAATAAAAGGATTGACACTTTCATGTTTTCTATAATTAACAAGAAGCGTTAAAATGACAACTATTTGAAATCCATGTTGGGTCCTTGAGTTTGTATCCCTAAGTAACTAATTATAGTTTAATTAATAAATATGACATTGTTTTTTTTTTAATTTTTTTAATTAAACGATTTATATCGATTATGTTAGCTAATTTTAAACTTTATTTTAAACAATTTTAAAGTTTTAATTTTATATTGTTGAAATATTAAATATTTATTTTTACATACTTTTTGAAATGTGTTTATTATAAGTATAAGATAATTATTTTAATTGATGCAATGAAAAACTTGTTAAAAAAATAATTTATATATGTAAAAATTACTTGAATTACATAATGCTACTAAACAAATATATATTTAATCTGTAAGAGTTATGGTGAATTGTTTGATATATACGTAAGACAAATTATTTATACAATATACAAGGATAATTATATATTGTGTCCCAAATAAAAATTCTTATTTATTCACATAATTAACTATATATATTAATTATAATGATCAAAATGTAAAATATTTAAAATCTTATAATTAGTTTAACATTATTCAGTAATTATATATTTTTTAATATCTTATATCTTTTGGTAATTTATTAAATAACCCTATACAAATACTATTAATCACTATAAAATTAAGGATTCATACAAAAGTAAGTTTTTTTCACAATATCACTCTATATAAAATTTTTATCAACTTAGGTTTTTTACATTTAAGTTAGAAATCAATTTCTCAGTGCTGTGATTCCTTATTTATTTGAATATTATTCTGTAAATAAATAAGACCAATATATGAATGTTCAGAATTAGAGCACTTTCCAAGACTCTGGCTCTTGGAATTTTATAACGCTTCTAGCCCTCGAATTTTTGTAAGCATTTAATTCCGAGGATTCTCGAATATTCTAAAGCTTTAGTTTCGAACGTCCTACAATGTTTATTTGGTTTGCAACGTCGGTTGGAATTCTCTAACTTTCTAAAGTTTTGCTTTCTCGGAGTTCTCGATTCTTCTAAAGAGATTTACTCTTGAATGTCCTGCAATGTTTTCCCAACACCTGTTCATTGTTACCAGCTAACTGAACTGTCGCGTGTCACGAAACATGGCCTGGCTTAGCAGGATCGCCATGGAACAGTCGCTCTCTCTCACGAGAGCCGCCACCTAATGAACACGCCTTCAGCTTCGTGTGCGTATTCAACAAGTTACTATCAGAGCTATCACAAAGGAAATACGTTGGCAAACTGTGCAAGCATTAAAGTAGCTCACCGACCAGAAAATGAAATGGAAGAAGGAATCAACAGCAGTACAATACACTATAATTATCTTTGTGAGCCATTCAAGTGAGATAGTAACCAGATAGTCACTGCATTCTGTATCAAAATCAAAAAGAGGATATACATTGAAAATGTAAATATTATTGTATAGTCTAATCTCTTCTATCTTTTAATTTTTAAAAATATTCGTTATCTGTAACCGTTTTGAATAGCCTACGATTTTTTAATTGTTTTTTGTTTATTTTACAAAAAAACATTACTATCGTTATAATTTTACATGTTAATTTGTTTAAAAGTATAGTAATACTATAAGTCGCGATATAATATAAAATCACACATTTATTTTATCAACATTTCATTCGCAAAACATCTACAACATATAACGTTTATTTTGACAAAAAGTAAGGATATACCTTCTCCATATATGTAATGACTATCATAAAAATTAAAAAAAAAATTATGTAGAATAAATAAAATTTAGATTTTTTACAGATTAATAGCTAAATGAACATAATTAAGATAACTACTTTTTCCAAATGTACCGATTATATACTAAGTTATACATACATTGTGTTCAAGATTCATAGAATCTCTCGAATATTATCATATGGGGAAAAATCCCAACAGCTATCATTTCAAGGATATTATTCAACGGTCATAGCTTGTAACGGTGGTTGGAGATTCGGAAAATTCGTACATTTGAAATGATACACGTGCATAATCAATTCTATTATTCTTCTCACTACAGTGCGCCAATTGCTTCTAGCTCAATGATCGGCCCTTTGTTGTCAGTTAATAAAGATGCCGCGTGGCTATTATAAACATGGCAAACCTATACTCTTATACTTAATTATTTCCAGTCCTTACAAGACTAGCATGACGCTATTTGTTCGAGAATGTGAGAGCCTTTCAAAAGTGTAAGACATGAAATTAATCAAGTCGTAAAACATCTCCGAAATAGTCTGTTCGAGATTGCGAGAACATTTTTTCTTTTTGTCAGTGCAATAAAACATCTGGCAAATAACATCGTAAAATTTGTATTTGGATTTCAAAGCTTCGCTTGCTCAAAATTCTCACTCATTAGTGTCATAAAAAATCTGGAAAAACAATACCATAAACACGGGAAAACCTATAGTTTTGACATCTGCATTTTCGTTCCGCTCGGCAACTACATCAAGCATTACTGCAAGCGGACCTTCCTTCCCCTTCCCGCTGTCAACAAGTTGCAATGCTGTCACCAGATGTGTCAGCGATGCCCCCCTTTCCGCTGCCCGCATGCTGTGGCATGCAGCAGCAGCAACAAGAGATCTGCTCATCATGAAGACCCATAGGCGACTAGGCCCTTAATTAACTCCAAAGCCAAAAGAGGCATTGACCTCGCACTATAAGGGAGGAGTCTCTGATTGGACAGAAAATAAGGGAAGGGGTTCACGTCAAATTCATGGTCAGCAAATGTATTTAAGGGGCGCAATTTTCAATACTTATTTACTCTTGATACTTAACTCTCTTAATACTTATCATTCGTGATATTTTAACTATCTTGATATTTACTCTTGATAGTTTTTTCTTTAGTAGTATTTTCGTGATATTACTCCTTTTCGAAGTGTCTCTCAGTTTTTTGATATCTATTGCTTATTAGTATTTTTTATATCTCTCCTTTAGTAATACTCTTTCAATATAGAACACCCTTGAGACATTTCATACTCGGTTAAGTTTAGTGAAAGTCCATTTAGCGCTGTTTCGGGAATGACTTACACTTCTTCGGATTGTCCATTATCACTGTTACTGGAACAGTAGTTACTGCCCCGGAAGAACCACGACATAAACCCGTATGTCCACTAACGCAGTTCAAGAAACTGTAGTTACCTGTTCCAAGGGAGCCACGACAATCCGCCTATCAGAGTCCGAAGACGAGTCAACGATTAGTGTTTGTAAGTAGTCTCTACTACAATAAATATATATATATATATAGATTGAGATTCTGAGTATTACAAAGCACTAAGAACGAGGAAGCTACTCTTAATACGACAGTGCGGAATAAATTCCAGTACGCGTCGTCAAGTTTCGCGCCCGCCAGGGGCGTCTCATTTTAGCAACCCTCACCTTAGTTCAATCGGAAGCTTAAGAAAGTAAGCAAAACACAACGCAAGTGTAGGCAATCCAGTTTCGCGCCACTTGCGATATCTTTCAATCATAAAGCTGCATTCATAACCTCAACCACACACGTGCTCGTTCAAAAGGCGCTAGTGTCGACGAACGAAACTTCGCGCCATTCGCCATTCGTATTCAACAATCAAGCTGCATAGATTATTGTATAGTTGTCTCCGCAACACATCACTTCAATCCAAGAATTAGTTCTACAGGTAATAATAGTAATACTAGTCAACCTTGTCATTAATAAATAACAGAATAAAAAGCATATACTTCAGCCATATCTTTATTGTATTATTATAATATCCCTTCCACTTGTGACCTGTCATCCCTACCACACAACACTCGTGGTCTCTGAGTTATCAACGGCATCAAATTGTAACCGTCCAACCGGCCTTGATAAAACAAATCGGAACGACGAGTTGCATTTTGTACAAACCGTATCTTTGTAATTAAACGTAAGATACATTCAACACATCAATAATGTAATTGTAAATAAAATATATTAAACCATATTTATGGAAAAAGAACTCATTGTATTTCTTCAGCCCTTCCACTTAACCCCTCCCGAAGTATTTTCTAGGGCGAACGGCAAATAAAAGCTATCGAAATATTGGCAGTTCGAGCCAGGAAAGCAATACTTTCGAACACATTGTATTATTCTTTGCACGAACTACCTTATAAGATATTATTTAGGTTATTTTGATAACTATTTAGAATCATATAGATATTATTTTTATGAAAGTAAAATATTTACAATTATTATTTTTGTTAATTATAGTTATTCCTTTTATAACACTTTTTTATAAAACTTTGTGATAGTATTTTTCTTCTTAGTATATTTCAAAGTAGATTTCTAATTTATTTAATTATGATAAAATTCGATATAAATCGTTTATTTTATATATAAAATAAAATTGATGGATCTTACCTCGATTAATAACTCAAAAATATTACTGCTCATTATATAATACAATAATACATTTTGATTTATATTATCTAATCCAGTAGCAATTATTATAAAAAGATTTACACATATATTTTTTAAATTTGATGGATATTCACCTAAAGTTTTATTCAATTTAAAAACAGAGGATAAAATATTTTAAATAATATTTTACAATTTAATTCTTATGAAAAATGTGTATAAATAATATGAAAAATTAAATCAATAAATTGACAGAAAAGCTTTTAATAAAAATCATTTTTTTTTGCTGAAAATTTTTTTTAATTTAGCTTTTTTATTTTTATATCGTGAACAATAATCACTGAATAGTAATTTTAAATTGATCTTAGAAAATAGATTTTAAATTTAAATAGATCTTTAAAAAATGTACACATTAAAAGACAAGAATTTTCAGTTGTTAAATTATACGTTATTATATGAAAAATACTTAAATTGTAAAATAATATAAAACCTAAAATGCAAAGATATAAGATTATATATACAAATCAGAAAATACAAATTAGGTACATTTGAGGGATTCAAACAAATTTACAATTACACAGCATTTTTAATTGCTGATATTTATTATGAATTCTATATACTTAATAATTACGTATCTTTGTTAATCGATTATGATCTTACCTGTTAAAAATATATTAGTATTTTGTAAAAACGTATTCATTTTTTCTTCAATATTTTCATATCCAAATGTCATATCTAAAAAATCAATTGCTTCATTTTCATTATGGTTAGCTCTTTTGTACAATGAAAATAAAAGTATTGATAGAGTTTGTACGGAGTACACAATTCTATATACATTTTCATCACATAAGGCATCAATGCAATGTGAAACCAATAAATTAATGTTTTTCTTACATTGAATTAGAGATTCTTTGTTCAACTGTTTAATTTTATTTTCAATATAAGATACCTTAAAAAATAGTATGATCTATTAAAATTCTCTTAAAATAATATCAATTCTATGCATAAAAATGAATTGATTCAATATGACAGTCTTAATAGGTCTCCCAAAATTGATTAATTTATAATTCAGTTATATTTCTACAAAAACATAAGATATTTTTAATTAATAAAGATACTAAAGGGTTTAAAATATGAAATACTATGAACATAAATTTGGTTTATTTCTTTCCAAAGCTATTGTTAAAATTTTCGTTTCGTATTATAATACGTCTGTGCGACAGTTATTATAAAAAATAAGATATGATTTTATAGGAATATTATAATTTTATAATATTCTTTTCATTATTTAAACAAGAATAACTAAGTAATACATAATTTATAGCAATTCCAACAACTATGAACCTATCATTTATTCTTCAGCGTCTAATTCAATATGCTTTTCTGAATATTTTTGAACATATTTTAAGTATTTAGTAAATTAAAAATAAAAAGAGAATAATCTTTAGTAAAAATTATGGAAATTTCAAATGACAATTTAAAAAAATTGTTAAACAGATTTAAAATCCATAAAAAGTTTTAAATAAAATAGAATTCCAAATATAATCGACAAAAATTTAGTGTAACAAAATTGGTACTGAAATAACTAAACGCAAGTTGATGAATACCATGTGATATTAATAAAAATTTTGAATAATGACGATTGCTTATATGATAAAGTAGACAATCCAGAACACAGTATTTGACAAAATTTAAAATACATTTATATATAATGTAAACTCAAATTAAAATAAAAATAGTATTTTTATGATATTCACTTTAGATCTTGTATAAGAGTTTCCAAAATCATTGAAATTTGAAGAGCTTAAGTATACTCAAAACTCATTTAATTGAACTGAGACAGCTCAGTTTTTCCAGAATCAAATTTAGAGGATTATATGAAGTCCTTTATTTGTACGATTAAAGTTAAAAACAACAAAATAGTTTATTGTACTTAAATTCGGTGTTTAATAGCTCTTGCTTTTTTAAACTTTTTTCTGGTAACATTCATACAATAATATTTAAATTTTAAGTACCAATTCAATTGTAAAAATAATCATAAACATAATTTTTAATTATAAATAAATTTTGCAAGAGCAATTTTAAGATACATTATTCAAATATATTTCGAAATGATTCAATTCATATTCTAGTTTATATTTTTTATTATCATGAATTATTTATATAATAAGTAGTATATCATTCGGAAATAGTATTTATACTAATTAAAATGTAAATTTTTAATTTATTTAATCCACACTTGGATATATGCATACATATAAATTCAAATATTTGAAAAACTAAACTTTGAAATGATATGGCTTTAAGTTTTTATTTTCAATAAATAAATAATACAATCATATCAAAATATATGATCTGAAAAAAAAAATCCTACAATGCTGACTAGCACTCAAAGTAAGTACATCTGCAATAAATATCTTATAGATAATTCTATTTAATATATAGTCTTGTATTTTATTTTTGATTTAGGAAAATATGAAAATGGATCAAGTAGAAATAATTAAGTACTATACTATCTTATATCCTGTTTATATAAGTCTAATATTTGAATAAGTATTTTGTAATTATATTAGTTTTATAATTTATAATTTCCTAATTATATTCGTAAATACATATTTTTATACATAGCTATGTCATCTAAAATATTTAAAAATATAAGCAAATGAATAAATGGTAATGTTATAACAATCATGCTGTACCTAATTAAATTAATGACACTATCCAATTATATATTTTTCATTATAATTGTGATTAATATTTCATCTATTTTTACAATTAATTTGAATTATAAAAAAATATTTAATAATAATATTAGTATAAAATAATTTTAATAAAAACAATAAAAACTTACTACAGGTTCTGTAAGAGATAATTCATTCCAAAAGTTGAAATTAGTTATAGTAATGTCATCTCCTCTAAATATCTTTTCATACATAGTTATAAATTCTACTTTATTTTCTTTCTTACTTTCAGATTCACTTGGATACATTAAATTCATTTCTACACCATAATGTTAATATGCTTATTAATCAAAACATATATTTTTAAACATTAAATAACAGTTTTTTGTATTAATATCATACTTGATGTTAAATATGATGAATTGTTTATATACAATGTTGTTAGGAATTAATATAAAAAATTGAACCTATATATGATTACTATAAAAATGCATTATAATAATTTATATAAATGAATTAATTTCTATAGAATTTGCATATTTCAATTTTTCTTCTTAAAAGGTTAAATTTATTTTAATCAACTGAATATTCGAATACATCGTTTGACTACATCCATATAAAATTGGTTTAACGTAAATATATTATTTAGCCATATCACTTTTCTCTAAAACATACTTATAAATGTAATATATTACTATATTATACTAACTACAAAATTTATTAACCTAACATTCTACACTGCGAATATCTATGAAAAATAGAATAATAAAATAAATAAAAAATTAGAAAAGAGATTTTAAATTTTAGAACACATATATGAAATATTTTAAATACTCCATAACAAAAGTCAATAAAAATATAAAAAATTTAATTAATCTTCAAACACATAATAATTAACAATTAATATAATATACATTTTTGTTGTTTAAAAAAATTAATCAATAGGATATACTTTTACAATATGTAAAAAATTATAACAAAAAGAAGTAATTTTGTATTTCAGGAAATTTTTTTGTCCCTAACTGTATAAAGCATAAATTATTTTTAAAAATATTAAATTATAAAATTCTTAATAATATAAATTAAGAATATAAAATTATTAATATTTTTTAATAATGAATTTCACAAATTGATATACGTTTAAAGAAAATTTCTAAACTATAATTTACTCTTTACTTGAAGAAATATTTGAAAAGAAATTTAGTTTTAACATTGTTTCCTTTAATTGTTTGAAAATAGTAATAAACATTATATATGAATTGTAAAATATTACACACTTAAAAAGATAAGTATTTGTTAGTATAAAAATAAGTTTTGAAATGTTTAAATTCTAATTATTAAAAAGAATTTAATACCAAATGATTATAACAAAACATTCAGTGGAATTAAAATTAATATTTATATCTAAAGTTATATATTAAAAAAATTACGTGCAATTTATTTATATATTATATATTAAATTTATGCTGAATAATATAAATATATTAATAAATACAATTTTATATTTTATAGCTAAAATTATAATAATAATTTTTAATCAATTATTTATTGTACTTTATTCTAAGTTCATTTATTCGTACATATACCTAGAAATTGCATTATTTTTTAGTTTGCTTTTGTAAAGATTTATGAAAACAAATTTATGAAATAGTTTTTAAAATATAGTACAAAATATATTTTTATATTTATTTTCAAATATATCAAATTTAAAGTGAATTCTATTTTATAATAATCATATATTCAAATTAACAAGATGTTTAATCGATTAATAAATAATAAGTACATTTTATTTTATAAAATCAATTAACATTTATAAAATAAACATAAACATTTATAAAATGAAGTAACATTTTATAAAATAATAATTATGCACTATTAAAGTAAATTTTAATTTATCTTGATACTTTTTTTTACGTATAAAGTTGTGTCCTTATTACTACATGCGCACTAGAGGTCATAACTCATTGGTGATTGTATGTATTTTGAATAATGTAATATAATATACATATTCGGTTATTAAATAAATAAATGTATCATTGTTATATAATTATAGATACATAAAAATAATTTAATTTTTTTTTAACTAAAAGAAACTTTAATCTTACATGATCATTATTACAAATCAGAATTGAAGTACATTGAAAAAGTGTAATGAATGTGTAAAACATAAAAAAATTATGTTTGGATAAAAATTTAAATAAAATCTATCTAAATAGCGATTCATTATTTTTCGGTGTATCAGATGTTAGACAAATATTTTTAAGTATAGTTGACAAAAGCGTTGCATCAAATAATTAGATATGAATTTTCCAAATGTTTACTATTTTTATTACATTTATACTTTATAAATTTAATTTAATTATTTATTTATTAAAGATTATTAAATATTATATTTAATAAATACTAAATTTTTATTAAATAAATAGTGAATGTATTTGTTCGAGAATGCGAGAACGTTTTCTTGCCACGATTTCCCACGGTCGCTGGACAGTCGAGATGGTCAATACATCTGGAAAACTCCAGCGAATATTTAGCTTCTTTATACTTGCTTATCTAAAAACGTGCTCATTCTTTTCCGGTGCAGTAAAAATTAATATGTTGTTTACTGTTAAGAAGACGTAGATTCTGATAGAGTATCAGATATACTTAAAAATACCGAGTATTTACATTTCCTAAAATTCGCTGCAACCCAAAACCTCGCACGTGCGACAACAAGCAATAGGCGTACGTGCACACACGGCTTTTTAAGACAATGCTTGCTTTGTTGTTAACTATGCCGCATCTAGTCGATTGCATTGGAAGATCGACCACGCCCAAGAGGACCCTTCGTCTAGCCGAGTCCCAGAGAAGGGAGAGGCGACCAAAGAGAGGTGACCAATAGTAAAACCTCCCCACTTTCCGACACTTTCCCGATTAGCATATCGGGACTGAGCCCGGAAGGTAGTGGAAATGAAGGCGTGCATAATATATTGTGCTGTCCAAGGTCAACCGCTGATTGGATAATTAAAAGAAGAAGGGATCCCAAGTGGAACTGGGTCAGTGAACTATTTAAGACGGGCAATGTAATGTACCACTACTTATTCTTATTCTTATTCTTATTCAATTCCTATTCGCCACTTGATTGAATGGATAAGTCACGACTTACTCTCACGGAGGAGGACCAGAGAGATAAGTCGTTCAGCTGGGTCTAGTAAAAGTTCTTTCTACGACTGGGAATCAATATATAGTTAAAATTGATCTCATCAAAATTAGATTGCATAGGACAGGCCTTTGTAATCTCACTTGGAGACAAGAAAGGAACTTAAGAACTATAATTATTGAAAGGGAACTTCACATCAAGCCAACGAAGAGAGACTGGAAAATTCACAATACACTGCAAGTAAGTCCTTACCGCTAGTATTGTGAAAGAATCACGTTACACTGAAAGTAAGTCCTTACCGCTAGTATTGTGGAAGAATCATGCTACATTGCAAGTAAGTCATTACTGCTAGTACTGATTTTATATCTCTCGGGTTTACTCTGAATACGGACGGCTGAAATCCGATTAATGAAGCTTCCCAAACATACTCTAAAAAACAAGACCAGCAATAGACACCACACAGTGGCTTTTCATTTCCTCCAACAAACAGCTATTCGCACCACACTGTAACGGCACATCTGATGAACTGATCGTTGTTGACGCCACAGGCGGCGCGCAGCTTCGCATAACCTCTAATCTTAGGTTTTTACACGACCCATTATTTAGAGGCAACTACACACGTGTTAAGTTACAACACAATAAGATTGTAGTGTTTGATCAAAGCACTACAACGATCATAACCTAAAATAGTGATAATATTCAATAGATTATAACATATTTATTTTTATAGTAAATCATAATCTCACCGGCATATGCAGAGAATGAGAAATTGATTATCTTCTAGTTTTCCAATAAAGGGATATATCTCAAGCCACAAGAGTATTAAGAAATATAAGGGTCATTTGTAATTTCACCATGGTTAATGATGCCAACTTGGAAATAAAGTAAAATAAATGGAATAAACAACAATAATAAAGATATGTGTTAATTATTTAATCGGTGCATTAACCCTTTACTTACCCAGTAATCCCATACGTGAAGTGGTTTTTTTGTTCTAAGCTGATTTTGCACTTTTGGCTGACAAGTCAGATTTATGGAATTATTTTTTGAACAGTATTTATTGTACTTAGAAAATGCATCTTTTTGGGTTTAATTATTATAAATTAAATTTTTTAAATTATGACAACAGGAAGAATCATTCTTATCAAAATACAATCAGTTTAAATATATATTATTTAAAAAATCTTTATTCATATAAATAAAGAAGGCTCTGAATATTTACCTGCTTATGATATATAACATTTTTATAAGATATTTTTTCATTCCGCCTTTGCTTTCTAATATTTGTATAAAAGTATTTATTGTATATCACGTAGTTAGTAAGCTATTAACTTTAGTATTATATAAAATAAAAATAATTTTTTTAATAAGTTTTTGCTAATGGTATAGAATATTTAATTCTCTAATAATTTATTTTCTAATCCAAATTATTTATAATATTTATAATTGTCTGGGATCAGACTAAAAGCCTCCCTGAGATGATGTGTGGAGGCTTGTTAGCAAGTGGAATGAACAATGCAATAATTCAACGCTGTCTTTGAATGTAGTGGTTTTCCTTTTATTGAATATAATAATATAATAAATAGTCAGTGGTCTATTGAGGTAGGATTGAATGTATGATACAATGAATAGGTGAGAGTGTCTTCAATTAATATGAGCGACAAGAATCATGTAAGTGAATTCTTGATGGCTTGCTGCTTGATTCTCCTACTCGTAGTTATGAACTCGCAGTGGTAGTGGGAGATTCACACAGATGAGGGGCAGTGATAGAGCCGCCCTTGCCGCTGTCGATGAGAGCTGTAATGGCTTGAGTGGGGAGTGCCTGTATGACGTCACTGATGCGGGGCAATGATGATGCCGTAACGAGTGTCGCACTGTTGTCGCATTGCCGCTACCGATAGGAGCTGTAGAGGCCTGTGTGGGGGCGTCAGTGTAACGTCAGTGATGAGGGGCAATGATGCCGTTGTCTAGCAACTTGCACGCTGTAGTGGTTTAGTGTAGGGCGGCTGAGTGACGTCACTGATGAGGAACGGTGATGATGTCGTTGTCTAGCGACTTGCACGCTGTAATGGTTTAGTGGAAGGAGGATATCCGTGTCGCGTTACTGCTTGACGTGTGGGAGTAGTCCTCGGACCGTGAGCCGCTTATTAGTATTGCTGCTTACTTAGTTGACGGAGCCGTCTATT